TCGGACCAACGGGCTTAGGAGGACTTGGTAAAATGCTTTAATATCTTTATGCCAAAATGGTATTTTCTCCTGCCAGGTTAAATCTTACCTGACAATATTTTCAAGTAGTGCTATTGATCTCAATAGCACTCCTTTCACATGAGAAGGCAAGGCCCTGTCTCAGAGATGAGCTCAGGGCCAAAAAGGGTACCAAATTCTACACAGCACTCATCTCAGGGCTTGACCTGCAAGCAGCCTTGGTTCTACTCCTTGCTGCACTGATCCTTCTGCCTTTTTTTCCCCTCCTTTTTTCTACTCCTCCTCTTCCTCCTAAATATTCACTGGAGCAGGGGCTGAAAACCAGGGATTCGTTCCTGGTGCATGTCCAGGTTACCAAGCTGTGGAGTTGCTGGTGTTGTCTCTGGTTCAGTGAATATTTGTGTGCAAAGCAGAGAGTGTTCAAGAGGAAGATTGGAGCCTGCCCACCCCACAGCACTCCCTGGTCAGAGGGGCAAGGCTCAGGTCAGGGCTCTCTCTCCTGGGCTACTCTGGGGAGAGCTCAGTCACTGTGCTGGATTCTGAAGGGGTGAGGGGTGTGTTGGAGTTCCTGCTGTGATCTGTTCTCAGTTCTATCTGAGCTCCAAGAGCATTTTCTGAGAGGTCAGACCCTCAAGTGAAAGTAGACTAAGGCACACAGATGGCAGTGACTGAGGTTCTGTGCTTAAGCTCCAAAGTCCATTTTTGTGGATCTGGCTTGTGTCTTTTTAGCTTCAGATGGAAATTTTGTTGGTGGGATGTTCAGATGCAAATCTCATGTTAGTGTTGGAAGATTCTGGCTTTTTAGGATGTGTTTGGAAAAGTTCTTTCTTTCTTGAAGCTTCACATAATCCTGAGACTTTTTCTCTTCTCACCACTTTTTCTCAGTAGCTCTTGTTCCTTTGCCTTTACATCCAGCCATAAGCCAGCTTGACATGAAGGTCACTACTGTAACTAAAGGGGAACCATGTGCTTGCCTCTGCAAACTGGGGTTGTGGTGAATCCCTGGGGATCATTTCCCCTGGGAGTATCATCTCTTCACATCTGGTTTGCATCTCCCAGGGCTCTGCAGAGCTCCCAAGGAGCTCTCCTGCTCGTGGGTCACTTCCTAGTGAGGACAAGCGGAGCAGAGCAGGGTTGTACAGCCAGAGGTCTTTCATCTGCCGTGCCTGCTGCTGTGGAAGCTCTGGGATGGGTGACAGAAGTGTTGGGATGTCTTTCCATGGGATGGGTCCAGTAGAAGGAGGGACTGGTGGGGCTCACTCTGACCCACAGAGTCAGCAGCTGCAGTTGGCCACAGGTTTGCTGGTTGTTGTCTGTCCTCTGCTGGCAGGCAGCTCCCAAGGCGGGTGATGGATGCAGGTGCTCACGTAGGAATGTGTGTCTAATCAGTTGTGGTGCAAGGAACCGGTGACAGGAAGAGTGTGGGAATTGGAGTGTTTGCCTGATGTGGCTCAGAGGAGTTGCAGGGGGACAGCCGAGTCCCTGCCAGCTCCAGGGGGCCCAGCAGCCAGGCCTTTCCCAGCTCTTGTTAGCTGAGGTTCTTGGTGCTGCGTTAAGTCCTCGGTGGTTGGATGTGTGATGGAGGAGGCTGATTCTGGTTTCTTTGGCATAGGGCTGTTGGTTTCCTGCTGGCTGCTCCCCTGGGAGCACTTGGTGCGCGGGGTTTTCCTCGCTTTGTGTTTAAGGGCTCAGCTGGTCCTGCTGCCGCGTCCCTGCATTAGGTTTGATGCTGCAAAACCCCAGTGTGTGGGGGAGACAGTGGTGGTGACTCAAAGGCGCCTCTGGGATCTTCTGCTGAGGGCCTTGGCTTGAAAGTTTGGAGACAAGTTGGATTTTCAGGATAGCAGATAAGAGAGAGGGCTGTGTTACAATGATTATGTGTGTACAGCACAAACTGAAGCAATTTCATCCTTGTGTACACCTAGAAATTGAATAATTTTGGAAATGTTCAGGGATGCAAGATCAGAGAACAAGAGCTGATAATTTACAGAAGGGGGAGGGGGGCCTTAGGCTGGGCTCTTTCATCCCCTCCTCTATTCTAGCAAATAAAAACCTTTCAGGTGCAAGAGCGACCTCTCTAGAGCAGAGAGGTGCAGAAAACCTGAAGGAATAAATGTCTAAACGTGTTTTTGTTTTATGTTTACGGAAGGTGGGCTGGGCGCGCTGACGGGGCCTGGGCTGGCCAGTCTGCTCGGGAGTGGGGGACCCCCGACCAGCAGTTCATCATCAAGGTAGGAGGCCCATCTGCCCTGGCTCTGGGGAGGGTTTGTCACATGAAGCTGCCACTTCTGTGGGAGGAATCAGGGCCTCTTAAATGGGGAATATGGTGGGAATTGAGCCTGCTCATTACCTCTCCAAAGTGGGGTAGGAGCTTTTCATACTCTTAAGGGCTTGAAAAGAAGCTTTTCAGGGTACAAGAGGTTTTTGCAGGGTATTAATTCTCCCAATTCTCTTGCCCAGCTCTCGCAGCCAGTCGGCTGCAGTGACTCCATCTTCCACAACTTCTTCCACCCGTGTAACGCCTGCCCCGTCCGTTCCTGCAGCTGCCTCCGTGACCAGTCCCAGCCCCGTTCCCAGCTCGGGTAATGGAACCAGCTCAGCCACAAGCCCAACCCAGCCCATTCAATTGAGTGACCTTCAGAACATTTTAGCTACTATGAATGTGCCATCTGGAGCAGGAGGACAGCAAGGTAACAGTGTTCTGGCCAGACAGCTTTGGATCCAGGAATCCTATGGAGCTGTTGTACTGTCCTGTCCTGTTCCAAATTGGTTTGAAAGGTCTCTTACCATTTTTTTGGGGTTTTTTTTTAAAATTTTTAAAATTTCAATGCTGTTCTTGGTACTTGAAGTCTTATTCTCACTCCAAAAGTGAGAAAGGGAGAAAGGATGCTGGCAGTGTGCTAACTATGTTTTAGTACTCAAGACTTGATAATTTGCTTTACATGACAAAAACTGTGGTTTTGTGCATAGTCTAACGGTCAACCCTTTATTTTCTCCTAGTGGACCTGGCAGCTGTTCTGACTCCTGAGATAATGGCTCCCATCCTGGCCAATGCTGAAGTTCAGGAACGATTGATGCCTTACCTTCCCTCAGGGGAATCCCTGCCACAGACTGCGGAAGAGATCCAGAACACCCTGACGTCTCCTCAGTTCCAGCAGGTAGGTAGATGCCTGGCTGTGGGGGGAAGTGCACTTCTCCTTCCCTCCTCCCCCATGCTCCTGATTTTCCAGGTTCCTTGACATTTTTCAGAGTGGGAAGTTGCTCAGCAGAAGTGGAAAGGAGGAGGGACATGGTTTAAAGGAGCACTAGTTCTTCCTTCCTGCAGTCACTCAAGGACAGATGGGAATGATTTTACTTTTCTTTTGGAGTTGGGCTTTACCTTTCTCTTTATTATAAATGCCCTCTGGCAAATGACAGGAGTAGTAGCAAACTCATTACTCCCTGTCAAAGAGCGGCTTGAGCAGTCTCCTTAAAAGTAGTTTCAAGTGACTGAAGGGAAGAGATGCTCATGTTTTCAGCACTGCATCCCTTGTTCCTCTTGAAACACCAGTCCTTTAATTCCAGGACACTCCGTGTGATTAAAGCTGGTGTGTTATACTCCAATGTGAACTAATTATTTACATATTTGAAATTTGATTGATTGAAATTTGTCAATCTGCAGAATTTCAGTGGCTTAAATTACTCTTTTTAGTTTAAACTGCAGCAAACTTACATGCAGCCAAGCCTCAGACGTGAGGCATGTTTAATTGGTGATTATTTGATGGAGTATCTGTTCCCAAGCCAGGTGTGTGGCCATTGTGCCCTGACAGGACCACTCTCCTCCTGGGATTATTGCCCAGCACCCGCCTGATGCTGCAGGACATGATGCAAACTTTGACACTGTTGACTCCCATTCACAGGCTTTGAGCATGTTCAGTGCTGCCTTAGCTTCAGGACAGCTGGGCCCACTAATGAGCCAGTTTGGGTTACCTGCAGAGGCGGTAGATGCAGCAAATAAAGGCGGTAAGTCCTGGTGGTGGTGGGGACAGGATGAGGTGCTTTGTTGGGGTGGTTTGACCACTGAGTGTGGAGTGAGATCAGCTCCTGTGTAACTGTCCAAAGCTGACTCTGCACTGATTTTTACAAGGAAAAGGTGGATATTTCCCAGCAGGCACAGTGAGGTCAGACACAGATTCAGAGAAGTGTGAGTTTTGCAGAGATGTGCTGAGCAGCCTTGGCCTTGTTTTCTTTCTAGAGGTGTCACAGTCACCTTGTTCAGGAATGCCTTTTTGTGGGAGTCCTTAATGATTCATCTGAAAACAGCGAACACAGTTGGGCCCATAGCTCTGGGGGCAGGGGGTATCCCTTTTCCCTAATGAGCTTTTACCATCATTTCCATTACTGCAGGAATTCTGGTCTTAGGCTGCCCATGCACAGTTAAAGTTCATAAAATGCTGGCTGTGTCAGAGAGATCTAGATATGTGTTATATTGAGTGTTTCATATTTTTTCCCTGCTAATTCATACTAAAGCACCTGTTCATCATGAAGATTAACCTCATCTGGACAATAATGTCTAGCCCAGAAAATGCAAAGTTCAGTAACCAATGTGTTTAACTTCTAGATGTAGAAGCCTTTGCCAAAGCCATGCAGAACAGTGTCAAGTCAGACCAAAAGGAAGGAGACTCTAAGGACAAGAAAGATGAAGAGGAAGATATGAGTTTAGATTAAGTTATTTGCTCTTCCTTACAGATATTCCTAGATACTAACTTAAAACAACTGCAGTAGGATTACTAACTTCATATTATGCTTCTATAAATCTACAAATAAAGGAATTTTCTTTATCTGCCATACTGTTCTTTCCAGTCTGTACAGTAGTCCCTATTGTGCTGCTTCCTGAGATGCTGATTATCCCTCTTCCAGCTCATCAGCCTCATGCTTACTCTTCCCCAGTAAAGTGAAAGAGAGTAACATAAAACTTTATTTGACTCCAAAGTATGTACCAGTGATTTACAAAGACCATCTTTTAATACTACAACTTTAAAAACAGGTCATAATTACATTTGTTTAAAATGGACATGTTAAAAACCCATTTTACAATATTTACCCCTCATAAAAAAAAAAAAAAAAACCAAAACCCACAATATAATGATATAAGTTACAAGTCCATTTCAGAAGCAAGATTTTGTCCCCAAGTGGCCAGAGATATATATACACACACAAATATATATATGACGTGTAAGTGCACGAGTGAACTGGGTGTCTTGGGAGAAAAAAAGCTGTTTTCAAGTGAAGGTTGCACTACACCAGGTGTGAGGGAGGCTGAGCAGGAGCCAGGGTGGGTGAGGGCCAGGTGTCACCTTGCACACCTGGCCAGATGTGGAGCTAACCTTTCTATTTCTTCCCTTTCAAGAAGTAGTTTCTTGCTTCACACAACAGGACTTTAGTCATCGTACTGGCAGTGCTGAATGCAACCGCAGTCAGTGGTGGTTGTGTTTCTGCTTTCCCTCAGCAGTTCTCCCAGCGCATTGTTCTTTTGATTTTTATAAATTACTCTGATTAGAAGATGCTAATTCTGTGAACAGAATTTTGTCCAAGTTCCCCCTTGCAGAGCTCTTTGTGTAGCAGTGGCAGGTGAGCTGAGACTGCCCTTGGGGGGAGGTTAAATGTGCCCTTGCTTATAGAACCACAAAACTGACAAAATTAATCCAGTTTGTCCTAATTGCATTTATGATAAAACAGAAACTGCCTGCAGCCTTTATCAGCAGACAGTCTGTGACAGTTTATTAATAGCCTCGAGTGTTCTGTGAACTAAATCTATGTGCATTGTGAGTGTGGGGTGAAGGGAACAGGATCCAGGACACCCTGCCATGTGCTCCAGCCCACGCTCTGTCGCGGGCAGTCGCTCCCACCACGAGCCACGTGGCAGCACGAGTCCTGCTGCAGATGCTTCACCACCAGGGAAGGACTCACCTGTCGCCACATTCTGCTCCAACTTTTTTGTTCTATCTGTGAAACATGTCCCCAGAGTGCCCCCTTCTCCCCAGCCGTCCTCCCCTGCCCTCCTTCCCCTTGGATTCGTGGCCCCTCTGGTGTGGCCCAGACTTGTGCCTGCAGTCACTGGAGTTCAACAAGTGTGTCTGAGCACGGTCGATGCCATCGAGTGGTGACACCGGGGCCCGGAGCAGCGTTGTGTCACTCAGGCTGGGCATGGATGTGGCACTTACAGCATGGGGCAGCCCTTCAGGCCCACGGAGCCCCTGGCAGTCCCGGCTCGCGGCAGGTCCACGCGCCTCCGGTTAATCAGCAGGTTCCTTACACAGCCCACGTAATGAGGGAGGGGAGGTAAGAGCAGCCCTGTGCTGGCCTTGTCTGTCTCTGCAGATGGAACAAGGAAAAGCAGGCATTAGTCTGGCTCATAACAGGGCAGGGGATTAAGTACCTCTTCCTTGCACCAGGAATAGTATCTCACTTGGCTTTGGGGTATTTCTTTCTGGAGCGCGTTTTTCCCAACTCACCTGGTAGCCCTCCCAGAGAAAACGTCGCCCTTGTGCTGGGTGCAGGAGGTTGATTGGGTCCCACTGTGTGGTTGCCTTCTGTGTCCACATCAATTTGGATTATGTTTTTCCATTTGGTAACTTTGAAAGAAAACAACAGTCAGTGTTGCTTCCTTACCCAGGGAGCAAGTCCATCTCCACCCTCCGGCCCAGCCCAGTGCTGGAGCACAGCAAAACTACTGACCCCCAGCCCCAAAAAGGGCTTGATGCAAAACCTCAGCACTTGCTCAATGGCAGCTAAATTAAAGGCTGAGCTTGCTGTACTGGTGTGAATCCTGCATTCCGTGCTCCCAGCTCTGGGCTTTGAGCCCCCTGGACACACTCAACACCAAAGCAAGTTGGGCTTCCACTTTCAGCAGGACATCCCAGTCCTGGGTGGAGCCAGTCCCATGGGGCACATCCTTGTCCTCAGTGGCTGCTCCATGACCTGGAAAAACCCTGTCTTTCCTGCCCACCAGATCTGACAGCACTAAGATCAGGCAAGGACTTTTATTAATCAAGAAATTACTTAATGGCAGCTACAATCTTTTAAATTAAATGCATACGGGTGGGGTTGGGGTTTAAATACCCGAGGAAGGGCCCTGGGCTTCCCCAGGAGGTGTAGGCTAAGCAGGGGTGGGGCAGGGTCCCAGAGCTGTCACCTCACCTGCGATGGTGTGCCACTGCCCGTCACAGAGAGATGGGCATGTCACCGATGCAGAGAACTCGTCAGTCCCAGCATTTGCTCTCACAGTGACCTGAGTGAGACAAACCCATCAGGGCCCAGTGAGCAGAGGGGGACAAGCAGGAGATGGACACTGCTTCTGAAAACCTGTGGGGAAGCCACCCTCCCCCTACCTTGGTCTCCTCCATGTACAGCAGGAGATAGTGGCTTCTCCTCGTGCCGATGTGGAAGATGAGGCCCGAGGCGCTGCGGGGACGCACCTCCATTGTCACCTCCAAGTCCTGCTCAGTCACCACTGCATCAGCTGGAAGAGAAATGCCATTGGTGAGGAGAGGGACAAGGGGATTCCCACAGGATGTGTTCCACCCAGTCCCAGGGCTGTGGGAGGCAGCCCAAGCTGCTGTTGGTACCTAGGGCGATGGACCCGCCATCTGCAGAGAAGAAGACCCCGCTCTCCAGTGCGCCCTCATAGCAGGGTGTCACCCCAAAGGTGCGTGAGGGGGGACCCAGGGGCCTCCCATCCAGCTGTGGGTTCCTCAGGCAGCCATTGAAGCTGGAGGCCAATGCAGCCTGTGGAGAGAGGCCACTGGATTGAGCACAGAGGAGGGAAAAACCTGGGAGGCACGAGGTGATGCCATGGGAGTGACAAGCCCTTACCGGTATGTGAGCCTTGGCTTTTCCAGCTGGGACCCCCCCTACGTACAAGGGGGTCTGGGCCACAAAGAGCCCTGTGGTGGCCACTGCAGCATCCTGGGCTCGCAGCCCGTCGATGACCAGCTGGGCCCGGCTCTGGTCTCTGCTGAAGAAGACCTGCAAGGACCAAAGGTCAGTGCCAGGACTGGAGGCTTCCCGGGTTGGGAGGAGCCCAGGGATGTGCCCAGTGACAGGAGCCCTGGCTGTATTTTCACTCTCCCCTTTGCTTCCATGGGACTGCAGGTGTCCCATGTGGTATCAGGAAGTGATTACCAGAGCAGGGCTGTACTGAGCCAACCCCTGCAGGGGCATCTGTCACTGGGGGGAGAGCTGTGGGTTTGAAGAGGTCCCACTGAGCCCCTATCTCTGCTCACCGTGTGCCACCGCCGGTCCCGGTACTTGTCCCTGCTGCGGATCCGCAGCCGGCGCCTGCCCACGTCCACCAGGAAGACAAAGCGCCCGTTGGAGACGAAGAGAGCCATGAAGGAGCCCCTCTCACCCGCCACGTAGAACAGCAACCCACTGGAAGAGTTCAGCTTCACCTCCAGGGAGAAATGGCACCTGCAGGGACAGGGGGTAACGGGAGCACCCGGCTCTCCAACACCTGCTCTCCAAGCCATGGTCGCCAGGGCCAAGCCTGTGTGGGGTGGGCACGGGGCCAGGGCTCACCTCCACCCAAAGGAGGCTGGGATCTCATCAAACTCCCAGCGACTGCTCAGGGCCCCCCCGAAGCGGAAGGTGCCCCTGGCTGCGTGGGGCTGGGGGTGCAGCTGGCAGAGCCCATCCTGGTTGTGGCGGCGGCCCTTGGGGGCAGGCTTGCCTGGCACCTACACGAGACACACCAAGGAATGGGGTGAGGGGAGCAGGTGCCAGCAGAGGTGCTCAGCAGTGGCATGTGAGGAGGAAGAGGATGTGGGGAGTTCTGGCAGCAGCTGGTACCTTGGGTTTCCTCCTGTCCTTCTTTGGAGTGACTCTGAGCTGCTGCGGCTGCTCACCCCAGGGACAGCTCATGGTGACATTGATGCTCTCCACGTTCTGCTGAAGGTCCACCACCATCTGTGGCTCCGACACCCTACGCTCGGGGAGAAGAGGCCCTTGTCACCAGAGCAGCAGGGAGGGGCTGAGCCCTGCCCTCTGAAGTGGCACGGGGGTGCTCACCGCTTGACGAAGACATTCCCGATGCAGCCGGTGAGGTTGCTGAGGACACCTGGATCTGCTGAACCCCCGAGCTGGAAGAGCTGCCGCCCGTCCTGGCGCCGCTGCCGCCGGCTGCGCCGAGGGCCTGTCGCTGTGTCCTGCAGCTCGTCGTCCACGTACAGCCGGACCCTGGGGAGGGAGGAGCAGTGGGGACTCAGCAGGTCCCTGTGGCCATTGGCGCCCCAGCCCCCGCACAACATCAGGACACGTACCCACGGGCATCGCTGTAGAAGGCCACGTAGTGGGCCCTGTCATCTGCATAGGCATTGTCAGTGGTGATTTCGGTTCCCAGCAGGTTCAAGGCCAGCTGGCCCTTCTGGAGGGACACCTGGCACGTCCCCTCCTGCAGAAAGCATCACCCCATTGCTGCCCAGCAGCACAAGGAAGGGCCCATTTCCCCACTGCCCTCCAGGAGCTCAGGGTGCAGATCTCACTGCAGATTCAACCTCCTGGCCCCACCAAAATTCCCACAAGGGAAAGCAGCACCATCACCAGCAGCCCCACAGCTGGGATACCCAGGGGTCCTGCAGGTGCCCACCTGGGTGGTGTGGCGGTAGAGCAGCCCCTCGCGTTGGCTCGTCCGGAAGCCGAAGCCGCTGTAGAAGTCCCGCAGCCCTGGCACATCCTTCAGAGCCAGGGTCAGGTAGCCATGGCCATGGACACTGACTGAGCGGGCAACCTGTGAGGGACATCACAGAGGCAAGGTGGGAGCCTGGCCCTGGTGTTGTTGGGGTGCTGGGAGATGACTGAGGTGCTCTGGTCCTCGGTCTGGCTCATCCTATGGCCAGCCACGCAGAGCACCTCGCCATGACCCCTCCGCACTGAGGACATGAGGGTTTTATCCCCGTTCCTGTGCGAATGAGGGGAGATGGGGCCTGTCCTGGGGGTCCCGTGCTCCCCTTCCCTGACAGACCCTTTCCCCAGCACGGCTGGCCAGGCTGCCTCCTGTGCTTACCAGGAGGTCCGAGGTGCAGCCATAGCTCACGCCCACGGTGCTCATGCGCTTCAGGTCGACGTACTTGCCGAGAGCCTTCAAGCCCTTCATGCAGCCCCGGATGGGCCCACCCGTGGGGAAAAGCACTTTCAAGCTGCCAGAGAAGCAAGCAGTGTTATGAGCACAGCCCCAGGTAGGACCCAGCCCTGGGCAGGATCTGGCCCTGCAGCTCTTCAGACAAAGTGTCTGGGAGGGAATTGTAATGGTCGCGGGTATCTCCAGTGCCTCAGGCATAAAGCTGCTCCAAAATACCCAGCACAGCAAAGGAGGACTTGGTGATACCCACCAGTACCTCATCCCACATCAGAGATGGAGATGTCCCATCCTCAAATGCTCAGGATGATGGACAGGGAGAGGACATCTTCCCCCAGAGCTTAAGCAGGGCCCCAACAGCCCTGGCTGTGGCTGAGAAAGGGCCAGGGCCACTAGCAGGGAATAGGGAGGGGAGCATGCTGACTATCCCACCCCAGCAGGGGCTGGACCCACCTGGGGGCAGCACAGCTGGAGGAACACCACCCAGGTAGTAGGAGACAGCATTCTCTAGGGAGTTCTCCTGCTCCACCACAAAGATGGTGAGGCGCTCCAACCGCACCAGGATGCGCTTCTTGTTATTCATTTTGAGGAGGAAAATCTGGATCTGGAGACAGAGGAGAGAAATGATCCATTAATTTGGGCCAATTATGTCCATCACTGAGGGCAGCACAAGGTGTCTAGTTTATGGCTCTAGTCAAAGAACTTTTTACAGCTCTTCCCCCCTCCCCAAAACAAGGGTCCATGTGCCTCCCCACCCCAGATGAGGAGCCCTCCCTCCCTCCCAGCGAGCCTGGCAGGCACTGTTCCCTCTTACCGCTTTGTTCGTGGTGCTGCTGATGGTGAGGGAGGAGGAGTTGCTGGGTTTTGCCATCTCCAGGCCAGAGCTGAAGTCATAGTAAAGCACCAGCTTCCCATCCCGGATGGCCAGACACAGGAACTGACCCTGGAGGGAGGCAGGACAGACACTCAGCCCCACGTCCTGGTGTCCAGGATGCAGTTGTCACACTGAGCCCACCTGCCCTTTAGCACCAGTGGGAGCAGGTCCTGCTGCCAGTTCTCTGACACACTACAGTTACAGTTATTTGGGATTTATCTGCAAACACTGGCCCTGGGGCACAGGGCTAACACTGCAAGCTGGAAATGCTCCTGCCCCAATGAACCCTGGCCCAGCTTGGAGGGCCTGTGCAGTTCTGGGGAGCCCCTCCATCACCAGATGAGTGACTGCTGTAAGCAAGCACATGCCTGGTTCTCCAGGAAGAAAATGATGCCATTGTAGGAGACCACACGGATCTCCTGCTCGAAGCGCTTGGTTGTGCCAAACTGGCTCTCAAACTTGATCTCTGCGTAACCAGTGCCATCAAAGTAGGAGCCATCAGTCAGCCAGGGGTCTCCCGTGGACTTGGACCTGAGACAACAAGAAGAGGCCCGAGGCATCAATCCCACACCATTTCCATGCTCTGGAGCAGCTGTGGGTTAGGGTAAATGCCAAGGAGCAGAGCTGCTCCTGGCCTGGGCACAGTGCCCTACCTTGCACAGGGTTTCTCAGCAGTGGTGTCCAGCTGGAAGGTGTGCTGGAAGTTGTACAGGCTCACCACCTCCTCGTTCAGAGTGTCCAGCTCCAGGCACCCGCGGTAGTTGGGATAGCGCAAAGTGGGAGGAGGCTGGGAATAAAACCCAACAGTTAGGGCAAGTTTGATCCTGGTTTCCTCATGTAATCAAGTGGGCTTCCCCACTCTGCCGGAATCTCCAAAGGCATTGCTGATACCTCCTAAAAGCCAAGCCCCCCTCTCCGTGCTGGCTCACCGTGAAGCTGGAGGGGTAGCCCCCCACGTAGAAGACCACGTTGCGCGGGTCGAGGTTGAGCAGCCCCTGCTCCCCCTTGGCCACACTGTCTCCCTTGGTCTCATGCACCGTCTGCCTCTCCACGATCACGGACATGTGCCCATACTGCAGGATCCTGCAGCAGGGAGGGATGGTCAGGACAAGGGCAGATCCCCAAAGAGCAGCCAACTCTGCCCTCCCTGAGCAAAGGCCCACCCCACACAGCTCTACCAAAAAAGGGTGCATCTCCCACTGGGGAGCACCACACCAGTACACTGAAAGGGGCCACCATTCAGGCTACCAGCACTGCCACAGGTGAATGGACCATCCAGGGTGAATGGACCATCCAGGATGAGCTTCACCTTTCATCTCCTGCAGACACCCCCAGACCCTCCATGAACTGGTAAGAGAACATCTCCCTGCTAGTTTTGCGGAGGTGTTTCAGTGTTAATCATTTAGAGATGACTGGATGGTGGAGTCCACGGCATGTCTCCAAGCCTAAGGGCCTGTCCAGGCTTGGGCACAGCACAACTGCTGCAGGGGCAGTCTCCTGCTCTGTTTTCTTGGGATGTGTCCCAACAGTCTCCTTCCTACCTGTTGATGCTGATGGTGGCAAACTGTTCTCCAATATCCTCATCGACACTCAGGGAGGCTGGTTCCTCATCGCCCAGTTTGTAGATCCACTGCACTCTGCGGTCCTTGAGCACAATGCCCAGGTAGTCTCCAGTGGCCTGAACACAGGAAGAGACAGGGCCACATGTTGGCATTTAGGACAGGTGACAGTGAGTGTCTCCCTGACACTCCCAGGGCTGCACCAGACAAACACCCCCATTCCACTCCCAGCCAGGCTGACAGCTGCATCCAGGGACTGTTCATATTCCCCACAAAGACATTCAGGGAGCAGGTGAGGGGCTGAAGTCAAGGTGTGATGCTGCCAACATGAGCTCCCTCCACCCACGCACAGGGCCCCGTCTCACCTCCCGGCTGCCCAGGTACAACACGAACCGCCCCTCCTCTGTCTCGTCCTGCCGGCTCTTGGGCTCGGGGTTTTGGATGTAGAATTTGAGGGACGTGTAGGCTGCCAAATCCTGCAGGTTGCTGGGCATCCGGACCTGAACCCCTGAGGTGCCGTTGAACTTCATGGGGACTTTCACCTGCAGGGAAAGAAACCCAGCCCTGTGGCACTGAACCCATTGCTGCTGCTGCTGCCTGTCTGGTCAGTGCCAGCTCTACCATGACAAAGCACCTCCTGGAGTCTTCCCATGAGAAAGGGACCCTGCCTGGTGGCCCCAGAGCTCTCCTAGATACCCTCCCATTTGCATGCTACCCTCAGATAAGCCCCCCTTCCCCCCGAGCCCTCCCCTGAGCCCACCTTGCTGGCAGCGTTCCTCGCCTGCGTGATGAGCTGCCGGATCCGGACGATGTTCTCTGACACCGTGGCATTTTTGTTCCTCCTGTTCTCCAGGTTGTTCAGCTTCTCCAGTAGCAGTGGGATGGTGCTTTCCAGGCTGGACACTGGGGTTGGAAAGGAGCCAGGAGTTTTGGAGGTTAGTGAAGAAGGGAAATAAGAAGCTCAGGCAGTTGGAAAATCACATCAGACTCAGCTCTGGCAGCCCAGAAGGCTCAGCACTCACCAGATTTCCTGGCATCCTGGACTGCCTGGTTCAGGTCTTCATTTCGAAGGCCTCCATATTGGTCTTTCCACTCATCCAGATTCTTCTTCATGGTGCTCAGGGTATCTTCCACTCTTGCAGCTGTTTCGTTGGCCTCAGCAGCAGCTGCTTTGGCATTCTGGATTGTCTCCTTTGTGTCCTCTGGAAAGAGAGGAGAAATAACTCTGGGATGGCCAGGAGCAGGGAGAAGGCACCCCTGGGTTACAACCTAGGCATGAAGAAGGGAGCAGAGAGAATCAGTCCAGCCACTCCAGAACAAACCTTGGTCCTTGCCCAGCATGTCCTGCACAGACTGGAGCTGGGTCAGGAGCCGCTCCTTCCTCACACGGAGGTCAGCCAGCTTGTCCTTTGCTGTCTGCAGAGAGCCTTTAATAGCTGCAATTAAAGAAATGCACATGTTGTGTGTGAGCTTGGTCCGGCCCAAAGGACATCACACCCTGTGAGGAGCCTCTCTCACCTCCATTTAGCTTTGTCTGCTCTCTCCTCACAGCCTCCTCCAGGCTGCTGCTGTTCCTCCTCAGCGCTTTAGAGACGGCCCCAAGATTTTCTGACATGACGTTCTGTGAAACAAACATGGCACTCTGAGGAGGAATTCAAGTCTCTGGCTCTGACTGCACACAAAACGCTCGTTCAGACAACTGCAGTGGGCTGAGACGGGGAGACCCAAATACTGAGTCGGGCCCCAGCCGTGGCAGAGGCCCTGCTCTGGGGCACAGAACAAAGTGCCCAAGTGCCAGAGGGAAGGGAGTTTGTTGAGGGAGTTTGTTTTTCACTCCCCACAGCACGTACCATCAAGGCCTCGCTGGCTGCCTCATCAGCATCGTGGGCTGCTCGCTCTGCTTTCTTCACAGCCTCAATGATGCTGGCGTAGGCATTGGAGGCATCGATCGCCCGCTGGATAAAGCCATCCTGGTTTGTGCCCTGGATAATGCTGTGTTGGAAGTTGAAGCCATCAAATCCATGGAAAACATTCAGGCTCTTGCCCATGCCCCCACAGACAAATGCCTTTGGGCTCCTCAACACATGTGCTCCAGGATAAAGCTTTAGAGGTGACCCCCCCGCTGTTCCCCTACCATGGTGTGGGGCTGCAGTTTCCCATCCCCAGCTCTGGTAGGAGATGGCTTGACTAGTGAGGGTCAGGACTGGTGCCTCACCTGGACAGGTTCCTTGCGAGCTCATCCAGGAGCCGGGCATGCTCCTCTGCCTGCTCCACGATGGGGATCTTGCTGCTGGCTGGGGAGAACTTCTTGACCCGCTCAGTCAGGGGCAGCTTTGCCCCATCCAGCAGTGCCGCCAGCTTCTCGTAGGCCTGCAAAGACACACCTCAGTCCTGAGAGCTGCCACCCCCCCACCCTCTGCCCATGCCAAAGTGCCTCTGCCACTCACCTCCTTTGCTTGCTCCATCTTCTGTAGGAAGTCGGAGACCTGGGCCAGGGCATCCTTGGCCATCCGCAGGGTCTCCTGCACCAGCCCGTGCTGCTTTTGGAGTTCCTGGCTCTTTTGCTAGACACACAGACCCAAGGTTAGGTACCTGCAGGGCTGGGATAGTCCCTCCTCACTGCACAGCCAGGACTACCTGGTGAAGGTCTTACCTGGCTCTCCTCCAGGTTGTTTCGGTTCAGGCTGTTCAAGTCCTCCGTCTGCCTGGTTTTGTTCACAGCCTCGTTGAGGGCATCACGCAGATCCATCAGCTGGGAGCTGTGCTGTGCCAGCCTGTCCTGGATGCTGTTCACCAGGTCCTGGTTGGACTGCCAGCGGGCATGCAGCTCGCTCCTCACCCGATGCAGCACTGGGCATGGGATGGAGGAGATCAGAACTGTTGCTAATTCATCCTCCCGTGTTAACAGGCTCTTTCTGTGCTTGGCTGCCTTAAAGCCTGGTTCTGGTCTCTCTTGGCAGATATCAAGGCCAGAACTGACCATCTTCTCTCCCTCCCTCCCCCAGTGCTGGTGAGAGAGATGGGATCTCTGTCAGAAAGATGCACAGCTATGCCTGAAAGGCACCAGATGATGGAGGAACCCCATCTGTGCCTGTCCCAGTGTTCAATTACTTCCCCTGTAAAAAATTACTTATTTCCAACAAGAGTCAGTTTATAATTCCAGTTTTCAGCTGCTGAGTTATGTTTTGCCAGGGCCTGTTAATCAGAAGTGCTCAATTCCCACAGTGCCACCATGCCTGGTTATGCAGTTGGGCTCAGTGCCCTCACTCCTGCAAGGATGCCCTCAGGACAGTGGAGCTACTGTGGTGCAAGCTGCTGGTTATTACACTGAACCCCTCTCTTGGGACAGTAAATATAAAGAAAAATGATGTGACTTCTTCACAGCCACACGTAATGTGAATACATCACATAATAATGCTGACTCCTGGTTTTAAGTGTTGTCATTTTTGGTCAGAACAGAACTGCCCAGTTAGTTCTGCTCTAAAATTCGGAAAAGAGACCACAAATGACCCCACTGCAGTGTCACAGGGGACTGTGAAACTCCTGTACAATTTTTTGGGGGTGCCTGGTTATTAACAGCACTCTCTAAACACGACCACAACCAGTAGCGTCCTCATGGGCTCCAAACCATGAATGGCCACACCCAGTAGGATCTGTGCAGCCCTGTCCCATGACACCGAGCTGGACTCACACTTCTGAGCCTCCTCGTGCTCACGCTTTGCCAGCTCCTCCTGGCTGCCCAGGCTGCGCTCCCTCATGTCCCTCAGCATGCTTTCCACCTCGGCCATCTTCTGACGGAACTCCTCGGTGGAGGTGGTGCTGGTGTTCGCTGCCCCAAATCTGGTCATCTGCCGCACCAGGTCTGCAGAGAAATCCAGATTCCCTGTTAGCACTGGTCAAGTTAGGTCCTTCATAATTCCCTGGGATCTTTCCCCTCTTACACCACCCTCACAAAGAGCCAGGTTTCGTGCAGTACTCAGAAACCTCAATCGCTTGAGATACCCGAGACATTGCCCCACATTTCTGCCTCCCTGGTCAGGAGGAGGCAAAAACTACCACTACCACTACCATCCAAAGCATTGTTCTGTGGCTTTACCTCCTCTCCCAGATCCAGCCACTCTGTTTTGCTAAATCTCTCCTAAAGCTGCAGTGCAGATTGCCCCCATTTTATGCATTTGAATAATATTTGTCCAAGTTTAACGTGTTTTTTCCAAAGACTGCGCTTAGCCAAGCAGCTGAGCCCCACAAAAAACTGGTCAGAGTAAAAGCAGGAATTATGCAGGGGTCTTAATTTCATTTGTATTTCCCCTTGTTCTCTCCAAAGCTTTTCCTCAGTGATGAAGCACTTAGTGGTGGTTTGAACCAACAGCGTGGCATACCACAGGAAAAATACCCTGAAGTGAAGACCCTTCTTCATATACCTGCAATGCCCCTCTGGATGCTTTGGATGTGCAGCAGGAGCTGTTCCCCCCTCTGGTAGGTGTCCCTCGTGTTCTGATCAACACGGATCACTTCTCTGTGAGTCATGGTCATCTACAACAAAAACACTGGCTTAGTTGAAGAATGAGATGACATTTTATGTGATCTGTCAGGAAAATTATGATGAACCCAGATGTTTTATGTTCCTTCCTTGTATGCTCCTTCTGTAAGTGACATTTGATTGAATTTAGTTTTACTGCTTGAGTTAGACCCACCTCAAAAGGAAATAGTAAATCAAGAAATAACCATCAATATCACACCATGTTTAACAGCTCCCCAAGGGATGAATGCAAGTAATCCAGCTTGAGCACCTAAGCTGGAGAGCATGATACTGAAGTTTAGCACTGGCTGGGCAGGAGATCCAACCAGCCTGAACTGGGCTCCTCACAGCCTTCATTTTGGTAAAAGGAGGGACCTGTGCTCTGGCAAAGGAATAACCTACTTTGTGCTGCAGTGCATTCAGGTCCTGTGTGAGGTCCATGTTCTCATCCTCCAGCTCGTCAGCCCTTTGCCTCACCCTGTTCAAGGCTCTGTGGGACTCCCGGAGCTGGTTCTGAAAAAAAACCCAAAAAATCCAAAATCAGGCCAACAGGCCAGGGAACATGAGCAGAAAGTGATGTTAAACCTTCCACATACAGCAATGGTCAGTATGGTGCTGTTGAGACCATGGAGGCGAGCCCAGGCGATGGAGCTGGCGTTGAGGTTGACCAGCTGGCCGCGGATGGAGGGGAAGGACATCTCGATGCTCTGCAGGTCCTCCAGCAGGAGCAGGACACAGCTGTCACACACTGCCAGGGGAACGGAGCGGTCAGCACAGGCCCCACCCCAGGCTTCCCTCACCTCCTTCCCCAGCACTGCAGGATACAGACCTTCACACCTCACACTGTCCGGGCCGTTGGCCACAGGGATCTCGTTCTCGTGCATGCAGACGTCGCACTGCTTCCCGGTCAGCCCGTTGGAGCACGTGCACTCCCCGGTGCGTGGGTCGCAGGAACCCCCCCTGCACTCACACTCTGCAGAGTTGAACAACAGGGAAAGGCCCTTGGCATCACTTTGTGTTTATTCCAGCTGCGCTTATCCACGCACCGCTGCCGGGGATCTCCCTGTGCAAACCCGGGCCCTCCGACAGCAGCCAGTCGTTTCCCACCTTCAACAACGGGACATGCACACGTGCCACCAAAGCCCCGTCCCACTCCCCCACACTGGGACCCCACACTCACTTGTGCAGCCGCTCTGGCTGAAGCCCCAGTAGCCCGGGGCGCACTGCTGGCAGCGGGAGCCGCTGACGCCGGGCAGGCAGCTGCACTGCCCACTCTGCTCGTGGCAGCTGCTCCCCACAGCGCCCACGTCGCAGTCACACCTCCGGCAGCCCGAGCACCCCTCGAAGCCGTAGTATCCCTCCTAGGGAAAAGCAGGACAGAGGGTGCCCTGTTCAGCAAAAGGGCATGAGTGCCTCCCTCCCGAGGGCAGTGATGTGGGGCCCCAGTCTTGCTTTTTTTGTGGTGTTTTGACCACCACAAAACCTGTAGCAACGTGGTTAAAGATGTGGAGCTGCAGTAAGAACCCAGACACACCACAGCACTGCCCTGCAAAACCCGCCCTTGCTCTGCAATTCTCATCCTGGATGCATTCAGGAAAATGGGGTTTACTGCAGTTTCCCAAAGGATACCACATTCCTGCCCTGGCTGCAGTGGAATGTTGCCTACACCACTTGCTGACAGATCTTGAATAGGCTTTCACCTACAGGCAGCTCCTGCAAATCCAGACTTCACCACATGGTTGCCAGCCTGGGCATGACACACTGGGGCTGCCCCTCATCCCTGTCCCCAGGACAGGCACCATCCCAGTGCACAGGTGACCCTCACCTCGCAGCGGTCGCAGTGCTGGCCTGTCACTCCAGTCTTGCAGAAGCACTGGCCAGTTCGTGGGTGGCAGGAGTCAGTCCCACAAGGTGAACAGTTGCACTCTGTCATGTAAAAATATACCAAATATTACACTGTAATATTACACTGCCAGCCTCTCACAAAATTTATTTCCAATGAGGAATCCTGTTTCCCCCTTATTTATCACAGTCAGACCAAGACAGAGCCTCTCTCCTCTTGGATTTGATCCTGACCAGTTATTCCCGTGACACCTGCCACGGCAGCCCACTTTTGTGACCTGTGGTTGGGTTGCTGCTCCTCAGAGGGAGAAGAGCAGTGCTGGGAGTGGGCTGTGCAAGCCCATGCTCCAGAGGGAGCATCAGCATCACTGCTGCAGTAGCTGCTCTGTGGCAAGACCCTTCCAGCCTGGGTGCAGTTTGGTAGTTTTGCATTCAGGGCTGGATTAGGAGTTATGATGCTGAGGGCAGATTTTTTTTCTCCCCACAGAATTACAGAATCAATCAGGTTGAGAAAGACTTCTGAAATCATCAAGTCCAACCTATGACCTAACATCACCACGTCAACCTCCTCATTATTGTCTAGGATGCTGCAACGCGCGCAACCAAGCCCGTGACTCACTGGGACAACGCACAGCCCGGCCAAGGCGCTAAGCACGTCCACAGTCAGTCTGTCCAAGCTCCCCTTCCCCCTGTGCTTGCTGCCTGCCCCACAGGGCAGCAAGAACTCACGTGTGCAGTTCTTGGCTACCACGGCGTCCCCGTAGTAGCCGGGGGCGCAGAGCTCGCAGTGGGTGCCGGCCGTGTGGTGCATGCACCCCGAGCAGGCGCCCGTCAGGGAGTCACAGCTGCTGAACAGCATGTTGGGATCCGTGTTCCCGCTGCAGTCGCAGGGCTGGCACGAGCTGCCGATCACCAAGGGGTTGCCATAGTATCCTGGGGCACACCTGGAGAAACACAGCGAGTTCAAAGCAGAGCGGGGGCATCGGGGGGGATCCCGCAGCTCATCTTGCGCCGTGCTGGAGTTGCACAGTTGTAACAGCGTGAGCATCCAACACCTGTAACTGCTGCAGCCCTCAGGGAGCTCAGAGCACTCTGTGCTTTGCCTCATTGTGCCTTTGTCACAGGCTGCAAGTCAAGGCAAAGCACAGCTAAGTCATACACCCACAGTAACACAGTATTTCAGCACTGGAGGCAGCAACAGGACATTTTCAGGCTGGAAAGGACTGAAGGAAATGCTGCCAGCACAAAGCACACAGGGGCAGAGCCAACTGTTTCCACTGCAATCCTTACTAGGACAACTTCCCCTCTGTCACAGCAGTGGGTGCACAGGATTAGTGTGTCTGAGGCTCCACAAACACGGGTGCCACCACCCTTACCGCTCACAGTTGGGTCCAGCGTAGCCAGGCTTGCAGAGGCACTGCATGTTGGAACCCTTGTTGACACAGCCAACGGCAAAACTGAAACGATAAGGGGTATACAGAGATGTGCAGGTTACCCTTGACATGGTGCCAGGGGAGCTGGTCACTCATTGTGGGCTGCTTGGCCCTCGGGTAGGAGGTCATGGACGTGGTTTGGAGCCAAGGACTCCAAGTGGCTGGCATTGGGAGACCTGCCACTGCCAAGCCAGTGCCCCAGTGGAGCACAGCGTGGTTCCCAGTGGTTAAACAGTGAGGCCAGGCAGGGAATCCCATCCAAGGGTGCTTACTTGTTGGAGGCAACTGAAAGAGGGCACGGACACCCCACACACTGCAGGGGCTCCTGGGCAGAGGGGTTGCCCACATAGCCATCCTTGCATCGCTCACAGTGCTCTCCTTCTGTGTTGTGCTGGCAGTTCTGCAAGGCAAAAGCAAGCTTCAGGCTCAGCACTGACAGCAAGAAGTGGTGGACTGCACTAAGAATTCCCCACTAGGAGGTCTCTTTCCCAGAACTGCCTTGCACCCTAAACTGCCCCTGAGCAGGACCATCCCTTAAATGGCTCAGTTAGTATGTGAAGATCTCATAACTCCAAAATATCCTGCTGCTTCACTTGTTTACTTACAAGGCATATCCCAGAGCCTGGCAGGCACTGATCTGAGTGGCCATTGCAGTGGCAGGGGATGCATTTTCCCAGAAAGAGCCCCTTGGTGTCCCTGTAGTAACCTGGAGCGCATTCCTGAGGAGACAGAAAAAGTCAGAGATCTGAAAAACAGCTTGATACTTTCAGGAAAAGCAAAGAAACTGATTTAATTTCCATGACAGAATTCCCACAGGGTTGTACTGATGGAGAAGAGATTAAAAGCAACGATAAAGATTTCTCAGTGTAGCTCCTTCCTGCTCCTCATCACCACGAGACAATTGGCCAGACAGAAGGACCTATTCCAAGGTACTGCAGGCACATAATTTTGGTCTGCAACACTTGAATGATTTCCCCATCATGCTCCTTCCAGGCAGATGCAGCTACTGAACATCTCCCAGGTGCACTGTAGAGGTGGGAGGAGAGCCTGGGAGATGTTCCTTCCTTTGGAACAACCCAAGCTGCAACTTCAAGTGAAGCCCTCAGGAGTCAGCTCAGAAGCTGGTACCCTGGCACCACTGCTCTGCACAAGCATCCAAACCCCACAGCTGCCACCCACACCAAGCACAAAGGGTGGCTGAGACCCAAACCATGACTGTTTGACTCCCCTCTGACTGGAACAGCATGTCCCCCACTTTCCCCCTTACCTGGCAGGAGTCTCCCTGGTAGTTAGCTGGGCAAAAGCACAGCTCCACGTTGCTGGCACGGATGCCTGTAGCTGTGTCTGTTGCCGTCTCCAGGACCACGCGGCGCAGGGACACGGAGGAAGAGAGCTGGGAGAAGAGGGCCCGGATCTGCAGCTGTTCCAGGTTTGCCAGCACCATCATGAGCTCCTCTCTGGACACAGGGTTATGTGTTTCTGTGTGCCTGAAATTACTCTGGTGGGAGAAGATGTGGCATTACTGGCAGGAAGCACAGACACCTGAAAATGCAGCCCAGCCTCCACTTCCCTTTGCACAGGTGAAACAGCCCTGGTTCTTCACAGGCAGTTCTGCTGCCAAGAGGCAGCACATAAAATGCTGAGGGTCAAAGCAGTTGCCTCTCTGTCTACATGCTGGTCTTGATCTTCCAGTGGCATCTGAGCACACGGAGCATGCAAACTCACCTCCACCAGCTGCAGCCGGCCTTCATGCACCTCCCCTGGGGATGGGTAAGTGCCTTCCAGAAACATGATGCTCATCTGGTTTCCCTGGGAAAAGCAAGAAAGGAGTCAGACATCACCTCATCCTGCTCCTCCAGTAGCAGGGGGCACCAGGGAATTTCTCGGGCTGCACCTTCAGGATCACATCCGGGCGGGACTCCATGGGAATGAACACGTCACCCCTCCGTGGGTTGGAGTGCAGCTCATAGCGCAGGTGCCCTCCATAGGAGGAAACCTGAGGGAGAGACAAATCCCGTGTGTTGCTGCAAGTCCACACCACTGAGACAAGACACAGCTCCCCTGTGTTCAACTGGAGCATGAGCAATGCCCTGCGTGTCAGAGGGAATGCCGCTGGCACACGTGTTGGTGGGGTCAGGGTGGTCCAGTCACCACAGGCCTCTCACCTGGTCCCCAAGGTAGGAGCTGGGTGCAACCCAGTAGAGCTCCTGGTAGGCATCTGGGAGGTTCTTGAGGTCAGCGGTGATGAGCTGCTCCCTCAGGCTCAGAGTGGTTGGCACTTCGTGGCGGTCGCTGCTCAACAAGAGCCACCCACTGTTCATGTCGACGAACTGTGGGGGAAGAGCAACTGTGCATCTTCTAGTGGAGTTACAGAAAGCATTCAGGTGAAGAGCCAAGTCTCAGAGCAGTGGAAAGGGCTCACACTTCACATGCATCCTGATGAGGTCACTGGAAAGCTGAGCATCATCCCTGCCTCCCACCCAGCACAATCCCCCCATGCCATGACAGGAGACTCCAGAGACAAGGAAAAGAGGCTGAAAGTGGGAGGTGGGCACTGGGAGACAGTGTATCTTCCAGAAGGGTAGGATTAATGCAGGACAGAGACCCGAGGGCAGCCTATGGAGCACACCTGACCTGCAGGCTCTGTGTCCCCCCACCCCTCTCACCTCAGCTCGGTGCTTCTCCGCGCTGCGGCAGCGATCGGTCGCACCAAAGCAGAAACACTTGGTGCAGCCCTTGGGGTTGGTGGCATCCAAAGAAAATGTCCCCAGGCGGCACTGGTCACACCTCAGGCCCTCTACGTTTTCCTGGAAGACAAGAAAAGCTCAACAGGCTCAGCAGCTTCTCAAGAGGAGAGGGATGGCTGTGTGAGTGACTGAAGCACAATGATGTGATGCTGAAAGATGCTGAAAGACAATAAAACAGTCCCTGAACAGGTCTGCTTGCAAAGCACCCATTAAACATCAAGTTCCCTGAGAGAAAGCACTCTACAAAGAGGCTGGAGCAGGCAGCTCAGCAGCAGTTTGAGTTACTCTGCAGCCATGAAGGAGCAGAAGGAATCAACAGGCCTGATAGCCCTGACAAGGAGTGAGCCTTCATGGCCAGGAAAAACGGATAGATAAGAGCTTTTCAGGGTGCTCTGAGTCCACCAACCCATGGGGCAGTCTGCTACACCTCAGGCACAGAGGCACTTTCCTCCTACAGCCCTGCTCCCTCTGGCACACCAGACATCCCCAGCCCTCCCAAATGGCAGCCAGAACAGGAGAGTGGAGCCAAGGAGAAAGGCAGTGCATGAAAGCATTGAGGGACTGACCTTGCAGTGACACTGCCCTGTGACCGGGTCACACATGCTCGCCTCGGTGCCAGCCTGGTGGCAGTCACAGCGCCGGCACTCGGGGTAGTGGTAGTAGCCAGGGGCACAGAGGTCACACTGCCGCCCGATGATGTTGGGCTTGCACCTGGGTGGACACAAGAGCTGCAGCGTTAGGACCTCTGCCGTGCTGTGTGAGGAGCTTTCAGAGCTTCCCTCATTCTGCACATTTCCTCCCTGCAGCCTGCCGACGTGTCCCATCGCTCCAGCAGGGACCAGAGGTGCTGCCAGACGTCCCCAGTGCCGGGACAAGGCTCCCTCACCTGCACTGCCCGCTGTCCACGTCGCAGCCTGGCTCTGTCAGCTCCTGCACGCCGGGCCGGGAGCAGTTGCAGTCCTCGCAGCCGATGAGGGGGTGGCAGCCGAAGGTTTGGGGCTCACAGACGACACACTCAGGCTTCAGGGTGTGAGGAGGGCAGATGCACTGCCCCGTCACTTCATCGCAGAGACGTGTCCCGCAGTCGCAGGCTGGAAGGGGCAGAAAAGGGCTGGGTTTGGGGGAGCAAGATGCAGGAATCCAAGGAGAGCATGGGGAATGGATGCAGAGCTCAACTGCTCTGAGGGCAGCTGGGCTGCCTGCACCAAGAGGAGCCATTACAGGGCTGGAACACACAGCCATTTCCCAAAACAGCCTTTAGCCCTGGAAGAGGCAAACCAGCAAGAGCTGGGAAAGCAGAGCGGGAGACGGGACAACTCACGCCTGCAGTTGGGGAAGCCCCAGTATCCGGTGGCACAGCGGGAGCACTCCCGGCCGATGACGTTGGACTTGCAGGGACACTGCCCGCCGAAGGGCTCGCACTGGCTGCCCCGCGCCCCGGTCTCGTGGCACCGGCACGGCTGGGCCCCGTTGTTGTAGAACAGGGACAGAGAGATGGCAGAGTCGCGGCAGAACCTCGACGATGTGCTGGGGCTGCGGGACAAGGCAGGAGGAGGGGGTCACTGGGCTGCACATCTCCCCACAGCCTCCCCACCACCCCAAAATCCAGAAGGATGTCCTGCAGCAACGGGTACTGACTTAGAGGGAGGGAGAGCCCTGCGACATGGAGATCCTCTAAATACCCACGTTTGGATGATACATAAGGAAAGCCTTAACCACCCCCCTCCCCTGCCCCACATGAAGGGAATGTGGTTTTGCTCCCTGAGGAGGGTGCAGGTTGTAGACAGCAGAGAGAGTACCCAAAGCCAAGGGTCTCACTTGATGTAGAAGCTGTTGATGCCACAGTTGCTGATGAAATCATAGGACTTGTCCAGGGGTTCCTCCTGCAGGTACTGAGAGCTGTAACTGTCCTCAGGCACCACAAGGATGTAATCCTGCAAAGCAAGGGCAAGCTGGGTGAGCCAGGCTCTCATCTGAGACAGATAGACACCATCCAAAATGACTCCAAATGCACCCTCAACCTCTCATCTCAACCTTGCTGGGACAGAATGTAACACACAAAGCACCCAAGCACTGCAAAGACCAGGGGTCACCCCTCTATTGGGGTCTGTACATCAGGACCCATCTAATCTAATGTTCCATGTGAGGAGTGCCCCAAATTCACTGGAGTAAAAACATGCAGAACACCCCAAAGGGCAGCACTGGCTGTGCCTCAGCAGGGAGGCAGTCACTGGCATCACTGTCATCTTAAATCTCTAGACATGAAGGCACTGGGAGTCCAACTCTGTCTTTTAGCCATTTATCCAAATTTTGGTCAATCTTCTACTCCTGTTGCCTGAGGATAACAAGGGCTACCTGCCCCCATGATGAGACCTGTCTGGGTAAACAATACTATACAGGTCTAAAATATTGCTAGGGCAGGAGTAAGGTCTTTAAGCCACTAACCACTAAGATTGCAACTTTCTAGGGTAGTTCAGAGAATGAGTGTTAGTGGGAAACATTCCTGCGGTCACACAGTGACAAAAATCCAAGGAAAACTCCAGCCCTGCTGGAGTCCAGCATGCCCTGCGAGCTTCCTAGAGAGAGGCTCACCAGCCACAACTGCTTGCCCTCTGGCACTCGAACAACCACGGTCAGATCATTATCAGTGACATCCAGGATAATCTGGTCCTCAGAAACTACCAGGCTCCGACACCCGTAGCCGTGTGGGCAAAAATTCGCGCTGCTCTGACCTGAAAAGACAACAAATCTATTGGTCCCACACTCCCCTTGGAGTCCCCATCACACCTCCCAGTTTGGCAGGGATGAGCAAGTCTTGCTTCATCTTTGCGATCCCCGAAGAACAGGAAATTATTCTCTGGCATGAAAAGCTTTCAGCAGCTCCCCCAGGTCCTCGCTCCTCTCACCTTGCCAGATGCGCCCACCGTTGATCAGCACTTCCACAGGGAAGGTGGGATGGTTGGGCTGGTAGTAGTGCAGGATGAAAGCGTAGCGTCCCAGGGTCTGGATCCGGCTGTTGACCACCACTGCAGCCTGGCCCAAAACAGGAGAACAGAGACAAAAATCCATGCCTGATGCCTGTACTCACAGCTGGGATATTTGTTAATTATTGCACAAATTCGTACTCTTATTGCACAACTGTCAGGTCTTGAGAATCTGGTGAATCAAACCCCTTATGTCCCCACACTCCCCCCTCTACTAATGCCACCTGCAAAGCTTTTCCTGGGATCCCAGAGAACCAAGCAGGGTTGGATGGAGGTAATTCAGGTGAGTCCATGGGAATTACAGGTTCAGGGATAAGTTTGAAGTCCATATTGAATTCAGAAAATGCTCATTGATAAGCTACTCAGTAGGCAAGGAAAACTTTTCCCTGTCTCACTGGTCCACTGCCCCAGCACCAGCAAACCAGCCCAACCCACACCTGTGCCAATCGCTACCTGTGGGGACTGCAGGAGGATGAGCTCTGCAGTGGGATCCATTGCTGTGGGAGGACGAGGAGCAGGCTCCACCGGGACCCCAGATGGAGCCACATGGACAGCCTGAGCCAGGGGGACATCAGGGGCGATGGGCAGAGCCTGGGCCCCCTCCAAAATGATCGACTGAGAAAGCTTCAGGAACCTTGAGGGGACACAGGAGCTGCTGCAAAACAGGGAGAAAACAGGATGTAAAGATCTCTGACACAGAAAGAGAGGGGTTCTGGGGTCCTGGCAGGAGAAGCATGGTCTGTAACTCCTGGTGGATTACAAAGCATGCCTGCAGAGGGAGAGCTTGCTACCAGGACCTCTGAGGCTCTGGGACATGGGCTTAGCAGGATGAACAGGAATCTGGCACAGGCTAATTCCTCTGCAAACATTTATTCAAAGAGCGTCAAAAAACTGGATAGAGTAAGTGTCTTGCTGTATGTGAGCAAGCAGAGGAATGCCTATTTGGGATAACACCTGAGTGTCTGCCCCAGGAAGCAGCATGGTGCTCAGATAAAGGACCAGCAGCCTGACTCCCAATCTGTATTCCATAGCTGCCTACTCAGTGGACACGGGCAAGGAGCTTCACCTCAGCCAGAGACTTCTTTCTATTGTGTCAAGAACTTAAATGGCTCTGAATCCGAGGGAAGGAAGAGAAGCAATTGTTTTTGGAACAGCCACATTCATGCTAAAGCCATGAGGGACTCGAGACTCTTACCTGTTAGAGAAGAACGTGCCATGGACGCTGATGCAATGCACCTTCGGCTCGATGAGCTCCATGGTGAACTGTGCAGCAGGGATGAGGTACACCTTGTGCTGCCACACGTGAGAGAGAGACACCTGGTTATGTGACAGCCTCTGCCACTGGAGCCCACAGCAGTTCCTGCACCCACCAGACTAAGCACTCATCAGACACTTCAGCTAACGCACAGCATCTTTGTTCACTGCCCCTTCTTCCTTAGCACAAGCCCCAGGGCATTTAGGAGCTCCTCGCATTTATGGGATTCTTCTATCCTTGGCTAAGCAACTGTGAATGCCTTCAATATAAAAGAGGCACTGCCCCAGTGCTGCAGAGCTCCCTCTGCAAGAGCAGCTGCTTCTCCCCATTTTCTCCCCAGTTCCAGTCCCATGGTCTACTTCAAAACACCCCACTGAGCATGTTCTCCACCCTGGCCTGGTCATAACATAAGCCAAGATCTGGTATCCAGTCCAAACAGCACTAGAAAATCCTCCTAGTGGCTGGGTACCACTCCTTGCAACCTGTTGACAGCGCTGCCCTCGTGGGGAGCCTTACCAGGAAGAAGTCAGCCAGATCAGAGGTGAACCGAATGGTGGCCTCCGAGGTAAGTTCAAAAGCTGCCATGCGGCTCTGGGAATCCACAGCAATCCCTCGACAAAGGAAACTGTAAGAGAAACACAGATTTTGAAGCCAGCCTTGAGCAGGGTCACGACCCATTTCTTGTCTTGTCAGCTATATGTCCTGAAGGGATTTTTGATGTTTTTTCTGGCACGTCATGAGTGAAGTTTCCCAAGGACACCCCAAACATTTGTTTCCTATTGCAAAGGTTACAATCAGAAGTCAGACAGGGTTTGACCTGTCTCCAATAAACCTGCCTGTAGGTCATTCCCTAAGTCAAGTCCCCTACCAGTATATCCAGCTGTAAATGGATGCAACAGATTAGCTCCTGGCAGAGGCATTAGAGGACTGTGTTGGCACTGGTACACAGTTCCATCTGTGTCCAGCGGAGGCATTACTTTGTTCATGTGATAAACCAGGAAAAAGTTCCACTGGGGGGCCTGTCCTTGCCATGGCAGAGGAGGACTGAAGCCTTTCTCCCTTTCAGAGGTGACCATACCTGTAGACACAGGGGTAGAAGGTGAATGTGCCCTGCTGCATGGCTGAGTGTGGTGAGCTCACGGCAATGCCCACCGTCTGCAGGGCGTTGGTGTTGGCGTACTCCACCACCAGCACGTACTTCCCAGGCTGGGCAACAGGTAGGGACAGCTGGACTTCCACCTGGAGGACAGAAGGATGAGCTGAGGGAGGGTCTTCAGTCCCACTCCCTGCAGTGAGCGTGCTCAGGATGCTACAAACCTCCTCTGCACCTGAGGGGGAAAGGGGACGACTCTCACCAAGTCCTTGCAAGCCCTTTACAGGTGAGACTGTGTTTGGGTGCCTTGAGCAGGGCATGCAAGCACACAGCTGCAAGGCTGATGGGGCAACAGTGGGGTTCACTCGGGTGTAAAACCTTTCTGGTAACCTGGCCAGGTGCAGGTAAAGCACCAGACAGTGGGGGCAGAGGGGTGAGCGCTGCAGTGCCCGTGTGAGGGATGAAACACAAGCGCCACTCACATCACTGCCACTGCAGGTGGCCATCCATGGGTGGGAGGGGGTGAGCTGCTCCGTGGGACACAACCTGGGGAGCCGGTTGTCCAGCCTGCACACGGCATCCACCCCTGAGACAGCAGGGAAGCCGTCCACGGACAGGTACTGATACAGGAGGCAGCTGAAAACACACAGAAAAAAAAAAAGCGAAGTACAAATGTTACATCATAATTTTAAGAGTTGAGAGCACCCACCCAGCCTGGTCCCAGACAGGTTTGCAAAAGGTTTTGGTCCATCAGGAGGGCCAAGGAGCACCTCTGGTTAGTGGGGAGCAAGAAACTGGGTATTACAGGACTAGTGAGGGTAGTAACAATAAAAACCTTCTCCCCTTGCATTGTGCTTTATCCTGGGGACCATTACTACAGTGGAGGGGACAACTGGTGTCCAGAGCCCAAGCAGCCTTCTTGCCAACAGGGACAGAGGTTCTGGGCAAGCAGATGCACTGAGGTGCTCCAAGCACTACCAGCCTGTCATTGTAGCTGTTTTCCAGGACTGCTGACTGACACATAACCTGGTACTGGGAATCCAGCCTAGCAGGGAGGTGGGCTATGGTCTTACTGGGTGTGTTGGCCCTCCAGGGTCCATGAGAACATACAGACTGTCTGTGCCATGGATGAAGAGCTATGTGGGTTGGCTTTCTAGGCCAGTGCAGGTTCCACAAGCTTTATAATCCCAGAAAAGTGCTCTACTAAGCAGTTTTCCTCTATCCAGACCCTCACAGAGTACGGACTGTATATTCCTTAATCCCGGGCCAAGAGGAGCTGAGTAGGTGCCCCAAAACACAAAGATGTGGAGATCCTTACTTCTGGGTAGCTTGTTCAGGGGCTGGTTGGTAGGTACATGGCTCTGTGACCTTTAGCTGCAGGATTGGTGCTTCATAGTACGAGCTGGGTAGCAAAACCAGATAGTCCTAAGAGGAGAGACAGGAGAGTTGTTATGTTTGGGACACTTTGTCCCCAGGGAGCTGCTGAAGCCCCCATGGTAGATGGAGCACAGGTCCTTACCAGCAGCACACCCTCTGCTTCAACAACCAGAGACCACGTGCTGGGGTTGAGTACGAAGGGCTCCCCAAAGCTGTTCTGGGGGACGGTGACAAAGGCTGGCTCCGTGCTGGGAGCAAAGACAATCTGCTTGGTCTGCTCTGTACCTGGAGTGGGAGGGATGAGAGGCTGAGAAGGGACTGGTTTGGAAAACCTGGGGCTCCACATGGGAAGCTCTGCTCAGGGAAGCAGCTCTGTGGTGCAGTGGGGAGTCCCGGGCTCCCACTCTCTCAGCGCTGCCAGAGCAGATGCACCCCAATTCCACACTGTCCTGGAAACAGAGACATCCACTCTGAACCTGCTCAATAGCTTAATGGGAGAAAAAAAATAAAATCACTGCAATCCTTGATGCCAATCCAGAGCTCTCACAGTGTGCTCTGCATCCCCAGACTGCAAAGCACGGAGTACTACAAGCCAGTGAGTATTTTGCCAGCTAGAAAAGGAAGGAACTCATCTGTGAAGAATTTACTGTGAGACAGAAAAAAAGAATTGCCCAGATGCATTTTTCCTTAGGGATATTCTGACTCCAGCTCCACAGGCAAGATACCTGTCTTCTGGTAAACTCTCAGACCCCCAAGCTGTGCTTGTGTCTTCCTTCTCGCCAGCCACAAACTCTGCACTGAGATTTAGACGTTAATTTTAACTGACAGGACAGAACGGGTTTAAGGCCTGATCCTGCTGTTGTTGAACAGCTCCTCGTCTCAGCTGACAGTCCCACAACCTCTGAATTCATTAAAGCTGGATGCAACAATGATACAGCAGCTAGAAGCAGCCTGTCTGCCTGCCCAGCAGTCTCAGGAGCATTCTGGAGAGCACAGATGAGAGGGATTCACCGAGAATGGCTGCACGGTGAGCAGATGGGATGAAGAAGGAGTGGGGAATGTGACACACTGACTATCCTGGTGTGGTACATGGACATCAAGGCACAAAGCAGAGGACCAGAACCTAAAGCAAGGGCTTGTGCTACTGCTAGGATAGGTAACCCCTTCCCATGTGTGCCAGCTCTGTGACATGCCTTCAGCTGAGGCTGAGCCCTCGCTTTCCCAAATGGGAAAGCAAAGGTGAGGGTGCAAGGAATGAAAAGATTTCCCTGAACAGGCAATGGGATAGATTTCTTGACAAGCTGAAGTTTCACATCCTTTTGAGATGGTATGTAGCTCAAACTGAGGTGCCTTCTGGAGGTGAGGCGAGAGAAACCGGTATTGGCTGTAAATCCTATACATGGAAAAGGCTTCCCTTTTTCCCAGCCACATCTTCTGACTTTACTTCTTTCCATGCTGCTTGTCCTTCACCATATGAAGCCCGTTCTACTCAGGCAGAGGGTGGCTGAGCATTTCTGGAGCCTCCCAGGGATGCTGCCCTCCCAGATCCTGTTGTTGGTGCACCACTCTGGCTGTCAGCCTTCAGCACTGGAAAAATCAAGCGTTGCTTCTGCACATGGCATGAAGCACATTATAAGGCAAATGAGCCCTGCTAGTGGACAGGACAGATTAAATACTTCCTGACCTCTGGTGGGATCCTAAAGCATGACCATGGCTCAGGTCATGCTTCTCTTGTCTTTCTACTGCACAATATGACTGGTCATAGAAACAGAAGGCAGAAAAAAAGTATCTTGGCATTTCAAACTTTGCATATCACATTGAAGGCAGAACACCTTTTATGTCAGCTCGAGACAGAGGAGAGAACTTCACACACTGATAAACTGGGTGTTTGCTGTTGACAGCCTTGTGCTGTCTGTGTATGGTCTGGAGGAAGAGCTTCAGCAGGATGATGTGGCTGCGGCACCCGAGGGGGTAAAATCAATCAGCCAACCACCCATCAGGGCACCTGCATGGCCTCAGGTCTGTTCCCATGCAGTCTTGCTCACGTTGTTTCCCAGAATATTTGTTCTCCAGGCTTCTAGGCTTGTTCATACATCTTTTGGTGGCTCTTCTTCTCCAGCAGCTTGATAAGACACTGCACCAGAGTGCAATGCCTGTGTAACATGTGCAATTCCACTCCACTTCCAAACCCCACATCACATGTGAAGCCTTCAGCCTGGTTTGGGACAAGTGCACAGTAAGGGCACGACTGCCACATCAGGGCATCTGCTAAATAAAACCACATCCAGCTGCCAAAGTTTGGATCCACTTCACATCACTTGGCTCATTCCGGTTTTGTGGAAACTCAGCTCAGTTCTGCTTGGAGCACTGAGGTCATCTTGTCCCATGATGGAAAGATTGTACAGAATTGTACAGTAGTCTTATCTGCCATAAGCCTGGGATCAGTCCTCAGTGTGCAGCCCCAGGGCTGGGCCCAGCTTGCTGCTGCTTTGTTAGATAAAGGGGACTGCAAACTCAAGTCAGCCTTTGAATTGGAAGGGCAGGACTAATGGGTAAAGCCATATGGAAGCGTCTTCTGGAAAAGATGATGCAGGAGATTGCCTGGGATGGGGAGGAGGTGGCGATGGCGCAGGGGAGCAGAGCAGTCTGGGATCCTTACCTCTCCTTCGTGGCTGATAAGCTGTAATTTTGCCATACACAGTGGCCCCTCCTGAATTAATATACCTCAGGATGACATGGAACAGATAGAGCTCTGCCTCCTCCACGTCTACAGTGACTCTGATTTTATTCTGCAAAAAGCAAAAGAGCACATGGGGCACACGTCACTGGGGGCCAGCTCCTGACAGCCCACCCGCTCTGTGGGAGGGCCTGACCCACCTGCCTACCTGCCTACCTGCCTGCCTCTCTTCCCCCTCCCTCGCCATCCCACGGCACGGCTCTGGCCGGCCACCTGGGACGGGCACACTTGGGATGGGCACACCTGGGATGGGCACACCTGGGGCAGGAGAAGGGGCAGAGGAGCAGTGTCGCAGCGTGGGATGCTCTGAGTTAGTCTAGAAGTGAAAAATGCACTTACAGTTGCCACAAACATTAAACTTTCCTTCCTCAACGACCGAGACCCTCCCTTCCACACTGGCGGGCCCCCGGCTGACGTAGCGGAAGACGAGGCGGAAGAGGTCGGGAGAGGTCACATTGAGAGTCACCACTACCTTGGGCTGGTGGGAGAGAGAAAGGGGAGAGAAGCAGAGCACACCTTCAATTACCTCCACCGCCCACACTGCCAGCCCAAGCGCAGCCGCTCGGCTCACTGCTCCCAAAGCAACATGCCACAGCGCGAGGAGGACACAAGCACACGGACCCTACCGCAGTCACGGGCACATCATGGCACTGTCCCCTTTTTGGGACCAGCCACCGAGGGAGCAACCTGCCTGTGGGAGGGGGTGGAAAGGCTCTGACCACGTCTGGAAGGCGCTGTGGCGCAGCAGGGTGGCTGGGCTATCCTGGGGCACACGCCATGCCAGGGGAAAGGTTTTGAGAAGCTCTTGCTTTTGGTATCGGCACCTTGCGCTTGGGCTTCGTGTGCCATGACCAGCCAGCAGGTTCACCAAATGCTGAAGCACCTGCACTTGTGTTTATGGGGCTGGGAGCTGAGCTGGTGCCTCGTCCTAAGGAGGCACCATCCCAAGGGCTAGTGAGGCTAATGGACTGTGCCACTGATGGTGCACCAGCCCTTTGCCTGCCTAGACACTGTTTGGCAAGACCCCAGTTAAGGAGATGCTTCAGTTTGACCCATTTCAAAGAGATCTTAAGCTTAAATAACCTCCTGCCTACAGGGCAAAACTGGGGTCTGCCCAGGGAGACTTCTGATGAGGGCTGTGCATTCCTCAAAGCTCCAGTTACACTCCATCCTCCCACTTGCAGAGCAAACTGGAACGATCTTGATGAGAACAAACTACAGGTGAAACCTGCCAGCAGAAAGCCACATGCCAGCCCTTCTATTGAGGCCTATTTCTGTCTCAAATGCCAAAACTGCATGCAACACTAAAGCCATGAGCTTGAGCATGAGCTCCATTCTTAAGCTTTAAGGCTGGGATTTTCTCCAGGAAGGCTACAGGAGTTCATTTAGCTCCTGCCTACAAATTCAGTGGGAAATGGCCCTCTTGTTACTTTACCTAAGCATGAAAAAGCAAAGAAACTGAAAGTACATGCACCAGAGTAAGGAGCATCTTACACGGGACAAGACTGTCAAGAGAATTACTGCCCTGCATCCCATCCCCAAACACACACACAGTTCCGCAGGGGCCATGCAGAAGAATCCACCATGGAGAAGAAAGGGTCAACAGATGGAACAGCTTCACTTCTAGGGCTTACACAACTCCAGATTAGCATAACCCATCACTACAGCAAACCAGCTAACAGCAAGGGGCAGAGGCTGAAGGGTAACAAGAGGTCCAAGCTGAACATGGAAGCTAAGGAGGAGATAACTTATTTTTGGAAAAGGGAGGAAAGGTTATGCTGAGAGTTGCAGGAAAGAGCAGTCAGATGAAAGAACAAGGAAACTAAGAGACAGCGTTTACAGACATCCCTGTAAGTAATCACCACGCTACCACCTCTGTCTAAATGGATTAGGATGTCATGGGATTCCCAATTTAGGATCTTTCCCCTCATCAGTCTATGCCACCCCCAGTGCTACAGGAAATATCTGCACAAACAGGCTATATATACACCGTGCTGTTTATGTTGGCCACCATGTCACTTTGGGGGGGTTGAGAAGCACTTGGGGTGAAAGATGTGTGCCAAAAGCACATCAGTCCTCCACCGGCCACATCCTCCCCAGAGGGAGCTGGGCTGGGATGCAGGCACAGGCATACCTGGATGGAGGACATCTGTGCATATCCTCGCCAGCTGAAGCCCTCAAACTCCAGGGGGTTGTAGCCAAAGCGCACGGCCCGGCCAGACGGTGTGGTGCCTTCTTCCAGCTCGAATTTCAAGTGGTGAAGGTCAGGGAAATAATGGTCCCGTGCAGGTCTGGGGAAGAGAGAGAGAGAGAGAGCTGCTACCTACTGGGCTGCCTGGAGGGAGAGGCAAGAGGACGCCTCTGCCAGGCAGGTGGCTGGTGTGGCAGCTGCCCAGCCAACAAGGTCCTCATCCCTGTGGTGGCAGACGACACCATCCCCGAGGGAACGAGGGGTAGGTAGAGCACTCCAAGGTGCATCTCCTGCTGGCAGCTTACTGGGTGCAGGTGGGACCGCGTGTGCTCTGCCGGCAGCGACAGGCTCCGCTCCGCTCCTCGCAGGACGGCCCCAGGGACCCGCCGACATCGCACCGGCAGCCTGCGGGCAGGAAGAGCCTGTTTACATTCCCGCCGTGCTAACGAGCTCCTGGTCACTAATCAAAGGCACGTCCCAGCAGGCAGGGAGCCTTGGGCCGCTATTTTTATTCCACTGTATCCGTTTTCACATTTGGCCCCGGCCCCACTTGGATCGTCTCTTCTTCCACCTCAGTGCTGAGCTATTTCCAGGCGGCTGCGGGAGGAACAAGGTCTGCAAACCCTCATGGCTGGGTGCCGCCAGCAGCAGCCTCGCTCCCTCTTCCCAGCCCTGCCACGACTGTGTGGGCTTGGCTGAGAGTGGCCGGATCTCCTTCTTTACCTCCTCGTATGGGCATGACGGAAAGCAGCCAACATGTCCATGCCACCCACTCTCAGCACGGGGAGGGCCACAGATGCAAGGACATGGCCAGTGGTTCACACACACCAGTTTTTGGCACTCTGAGGAACACCTTTCCTGGTTGACTGCTCCCCAGCCTGACAGACCTGTGTCCAGTGGTGGTAAAAGTGTGAACTCAGGTCTCCAGATCCACAGAAGACCCAGCCCCTGCTCTGGGCCATGCTATAGAATCATAGAATCATCAAGAGATGAGGAGATCTTTAAGATCATTAAGTCCAATCATCAACCCAGTGCTACCACTGTAACCCCTAGAGCACTAAACTGTATCACCCAAAAACAATGACCCAAACCAGGAGGTGGAACATCTCTTGCCTGTTCTCTCTACGGACAACAATCAGCTGTCTATCCAGAGCTGCGTGCTCCAGGATCAGTTCTCATAGCACCCCTTATTCACCCAAAGCCACCACAAAGGGGACTCACCTTGGCACCCAAAGTAATTTGCATTCTCCACATTGAAGTAGCCGTCCCTGCACGCCGAGCAGAACTGCCCGCACACGTTGGGTTTGCAGAAGCACTGCCCGTCGCCCTAGGAGGGAAAAGCAGGCATGAAAACTCATTCCCTCCTGTTCCTTGTCACGGTTAAGCTGTTTCTCAGTTATTTGGGTTCTGATCTGAGACACTGCAGAAGCATTTTTGAGTTTCATGCTCTACATGGCTTCCTGCGCGTGGGTGGGCCAGATAAGGGCCAGATAACTTAAATTACCCAACAATGCAGGCAAACAAAAATCCAGGCATCCTGAGACAGACACAGACATACTTAGGTGCCTAATTTATGATAGGTCTTAATCCCGTGTTCTCATGCAAGCCCAGATTGTGGTGTGAACTTTGAGAGCTCAGCATCAGGACAGGCCTTTCCAGCAGCTGCAGGGAGAGACAGAGCTGAACGCTCCCAACACAGCACGCACAGATGAGCCTGGAAGCAGAGGAGCAAACCCACCTGCCGGCACTCTGCGATTCTGCTGATGGTGCCCTTGGTGTCACACTTGCAGCCTGGAGAAGAGGGAGATGAACAAGAAAGCCAGAAGGTCAATCAGTCCCTGAGAAGAGGCCTGATGGGGTCAGCATTCACCACACCAGAGGACACCAAAAAGGGCTCACATTTCATTTTGGACAGAGTACTGCTGAGAACACAATGACCAAAGAACATTTGCCTTTTCTGTACCTTTGGCCATGAAAAATTAAGTGTGCAAAGTCTGTAGGGAGGGCTGAGAATGGCACAACTCATTGCATGAGCCTTAAAGTTTCATCCCAAGAAAAAAGCTCCAGGTTCCAGCCTTTCCCCTCTCTATGTGAGGGTTACCCAGACCACTCCAGCTTTGACTGGAGTCAAAGCTTCTGGAAGAAGACAGAAGGAAGGGCATCACTTCTATCCAGCAATGATGGTGTGTCTCCCCTCTAGATTGGGTTTTGCACCTTTACAGCATGAAGGGGACTTCCTGGGGCTGTGCAAATGCCATTTCCTTACTCAGGCAACCGTAGGGATTCTCTGGAGTCAGGTTCCAGTATCCAGGCTTGCATCTGTCACAAGCTGGGCCTTCAACATATGCCCGACATGCACAGGAGCCCTGGGGAAAGGGAGAGGGTGAGAAGAGCAGGTTAGAATTTGCAGCACAGTGGCTGAACGTGGGATGTGCTGCTCTGGCATGGGTAATGGCTGCTTTCAGGTTGAGCTTAAGGGAGAACTTGGCCCAAAATGAGATAAAGGGGATCATGCAAAAATGACCTGCAGGGGTTGGTGGGTTCAGCTGATACTCACCGAGGCCAGCGAGGGATCTGCAATCTCCAACCCTGCTGGGTTACAGGAGCCCACTGGAAAACAGAAGCACAAGGAGGGATTTATGGAACTAACTCACACACCCAGGCTGTCTGGGGAATGATAAACCCCTTTACCAGCACCACACCACAATGACCCAGGACACTGGAGTGCCCCAAGACACGAGGGAGAAGGGGACTACCTTCGCAGTAGGGGAATCCATAGGCTCCTGGCACACAGCTGTCACAGCGCAGCCCCGTCACTTTGGGCCGGCAGCTGCACTGCCCCGTGTCCTGGTCACAAGTGCCGTGCAGGGAGCCCTCCTGGGAGCACTGGCAAGCTGCAAAAGAGGGGAGAGCAACTGCTGGAGCTGCAGGGCACAGGCACTCCCGCATTCAAGGCTTCCCAGCAGCAGCCTCTTTTTGCCAGCCTGACCTTCACCATCAAAGCAGCCAGAAATATGGGTTATAAATAACACACATGCTCATTCTTCGCTTTTTGGTTAAAACCACCCCATCTTCTAAGAAAAACAGTACAAGCTGCTATGTTTCTCACACCAATTCATATACATTTATGTGTGTTTTGGAGGGTAAAGTTTTGGTTGAGGAAAAGGGGAAAGTATGATCTCATCCCCCAAAAGTTAGTCGGTCAGTGACAGATCAGGCTCTACAAAAGCCCAAACACCCAAGAGCAGCACCCAGCCATCAGGCCCTGTAGATGGTGTATGTGGGCAGGGGGGCTGCAGCACCAGGTCAGTGGGGAGTGAAGGGCAAGGGCAGGGCAATGGCTCTGTGGCTTCCTGCACGACCTGCCTCCCAGGAACACGTGCAGAGATCCCACTGCCCTATCACAGGAAAGGTCAGCAAGCTGCCCATGCCTTCCTTACCCAGCCAGCACTCCTCAAATCCCTGCCAAAGGAGACGTTTTAGGCTGACACCCTCAGAAGGGCTTAATAGCAAAGCATTGCTCACAAAACAACAGGTTAAAAAACTCCATAAAAATTAGGTGGTTCTTTCCTTGCTGTGGCTCCTCTACAGCTCTGTAATGTGGGCACTGCTTTATAAGAGAAAAAAAAAAAAGGTGACTGCTGAACTCCTGTGAGACCATTTCATCTATGCCTCCGGCCTCTTCAAAGGCATACTGCCGGCATCAGCATTTGGGAGGAGTGCTCTGCCAGCTGGCACAGCTCAGGAGTCTACATTTAGTACAGTGCAAGAGGGTGATGATGCTCTTTTGTTGCCTCAGGGAAACTGTATCACGGATTACTTTTTAATGCGCGGTAAATTCTTGCTGGGAGACATAAGAGTACATCTGGCTTCCAGTCGGACTGCCAGCAGGGAGGGAGATGGGGACGCTCTGCCCAGAACTGGGGAGGACTGGTCAGAGTATTTGGGGCCACAGGCACCTGCCATAGACATTGCTCAGCCCTGGCAACTGCAGCTCTGGTCCAGGAGTGATGCAGTGCCCAGGGAAAAGGACAGAATCACAGGATGGTTTAGGTTGGAAAAGACCCCTAAGATCATCAAGTCCAACAGTTGAGGCCATTTCCTCTTGTCCCATCACTTGTTACGTGGGAGAAAAGACCAAACCCCATCTGGTTACACCCTCCCTTCAAACAGTTGTAGAGTAATAAGGTGGTTACTCACGAGTGCAGCTGGGGTACCCGTAGAATCCCAGGGCACACTGGTTGCAGGTGTGTCCTGCAAAATTCATGTGGCATCGGCACTGGCCGGCTGGGCTGCAGTTGTTGTCCACGGCACCCCGGGAATCGCAGGAGCAAGCTGCAAGAGCAGGACTGTCAGCAGCCTGATGATCTGTGGCCAACCACTGCTGGTCTGTCATTCAGCCCCCCAGGAATTAGCCCTTTCCATCAGAACTAAAATAATTTGTTAATTCCCTGGTAAGTCAGGCGGTGTTTTCAGCTGGAGTCATGGCCATACCAGGAAAATGCCGCTGAGGGTTTTTTACAGCCCATTCAATGTTCCCCAGCAGTTTAGTAGGTTAATGCACTAAAGCGACATGCAAAAGAGGCATAAGCTGAGACACCAGGTCACAGCAGGGCTGTGATGAGGAAGTGTGACTGATAAAAAGTGCTTTGTCTTCCAGGCTTTGATATGATCCATGACCTCCAAAGCAAGCCTGCCAAATTCACAGTGCAAACCACATGGGTTTGATGTCAAGAAACACCAAAGCCTTACAAAAACAGGTATGTTTTCTAGAAGGTGACAGAACAGCAGGAAACAAAGGTTGAGGTCCTTACCATAGCAGTGGGGGTAGGAGTGGTACCCAGGACTGCACTGCTCACACCGTGGCCCAGCAAACTCGGGTCTGCAGAAACAATTCCCGACGGAGTCGCAGCCTCCCGGCAGCGTCCCAACAGCACTGCAACCACACACTGCAACACAGAGAAACCACCTGCCCTGTGCTGGGAGCACACAGCAAAGCTCATGGCAATGTCTTTTCCTCTGAAAGCTTCTCAGATGGGTGTGTGGGTGCTGCTCTAAGAATTCAACCCATCAGTCTCTGTCCATTGCATATACTCTTCAAAACACCCCAAACCCCACTTTCCAGTCCTTCAACCCCCTGCCAGAGGATTCTGGCTGTGTGCAGCCACCCAGGCCCATGGGAGGACGGATACTCACGCTGGCACAGAGGGTAGTTGAAGTAGCCTGGAGCACACTGGTCACACAAGTGCCCTTCAAATCCTGTTCGGCACAGACACTGCCCGGTCTCGCTGTCACAGGTGCCATCGTACTGACCAGGGCCAGAGCACTGGCAGGCTGGAAAACAACAAGGGCACTAGTAAATAAGCAGGTTCTTCATCTTTCCCTTTCCTAGGAGAGGAACTAAGAGAGCCTGTTCCTCAGGGGAAGAGGAGCAGTCGCTGACAGCAAGCATGCCTGGCCCACAGCTCACATCCATAGGGAATTTCTCAAGGCGTCCCCCGCCAGCTTGGGAGGATGCTGGAGGGTCAGGGATGGGTGAAAAACAACAGCAAAAGTCATGGGAATTTGTCACTTGGAAGTGGGGCTGGAGAATTTCTCCTCCCCAGCAAGGAGAGGCACGTTCCTGACCTAGCAGGGGGGTGAGCAGGGCGAGTTTGGGGCCACTGACCCCCAGTTACTCACGCTGGCAGCTGGGTCCGTAGTGGCCTGGGGCACACTGGTCACACTGTGTTCCCTGGAAGTTGGGCTTGCACACACACATCCCCACACGAGGGTCCTTGCGGCAGGCGTTGCCTTCTGTCCCACCGGCGTAGCAATCACAGTCTGGAGAGGGGACACACAATGGGCAACACCACACACGGCTGTCAGTCGAGCTGTGAGGTCCCACAAGGATAGGGTAGGACTTGCCATGAGAGGTAACAGCTCAAGCATTTGCCCCTCCTGATAACCTTCCTACCAGATGCAAAAGTTTTAACCAAACCTCGCCCAGGAAACCAGCAGCCCTGGCTTGTAGGACAGCTGGGAGAGCTCAGCACCACACAGGAGTGAAGGTGCTGGTGGGTAGCAGGGAAATGCACAGGACAGGCAAATTCTGCTTCCACAAGCCCAGGCAGAGCTGATTCAGTGCAGCATTACCCAAGTGGGGGAATAATCAGAATCTTCAGCTAGCCAGGGTGAGCTTTGAGCTTTCTCTCTGGTCACTCTGTGCTCAGCTACAGCCGAGGCCTCCCCAGTGCCAGGGCAGGCAGATGCTCTGGGTGAGCACTGCTGAGGCTCTGAGCCAGCCCTGCCATCACTGACAGCAGTGGTGTGGGGTGCTGGGCTGGGAGAGAAGAGCAAATATCATCCAAGAACTAGAGGGAGGGGAAGGTGAGGAAATGAGAAGGGAAGTGAGAAATTCCAGCTCAGGAAAGAAAAAAACCCGTCTGGAAGATACAGAGTTTAAAATATCAGAAGGAAGGAAAAGGTTATCTGGAGTGTTCTGGGGAGCATGAGACAGGGAAGGACTCAGTGGGAAAAGAGACAAGAAAAAGCACAAGGGAGTAGATGAACTGAGAGGAGTGAGCATGAGAGAGGAGGGAGGTGGAGGGGAACAGGGATGAGGGCATAAGTGAACTTTCTAAATAACAGAGAAAGTGACACAGAGGGAGCAGCTGCCCGTGCATGCTTCAGAGGCACCCACAGCAGAGCTCCCAGCTCAGCCACAGCCCCTCCGTGGTATTTCAAGGGTCTCTCACAGGGAGGCCAGAAAGGGCATCCCCATATGGCCTGGACCTCAGAAAAAAGCAATTGCACAGGCACTCAAGGCTGGAGTTTACATGTCTATAAAAACAGGGATCATAAATCTTCCTTTCCCCCACCTTTCAGCTGCCTCCTCTCTCAGACCACTCCCTCTCTCATAGAACGTACATGCCCAGTAAGCTGAAGACCTGATTTTGTGTTGGATGGGGAGATGCAACAAAAGTGATATCATGGTGATTGCGAAAGCATCAAGGAAAATTGCACTGCTTACTTATTATCTGTCCTGCAGGAAGCACTTGTTCTCCAGTGTCGTTGTGAGTGAAAGCTGGAACAGCTACGCAGAGAAAGAGACATGGCACAGGTCATCACACACCCTCAAAGAAACCCTGTCGGAATATCGAGGGCTTGACAATCCTGGAGCTGAACAGGCTGAATGAAAACGTGGAACATGGAACAAAGCACGGATATCCCACTAAACAACAATCCATTACAGCCCTCGTTAACCTGTCTTTCATGCAAAGTGAAAGATGAAACTCCAGCAAAATGGGAAGCTCCCACTGACTCCAGAGAGCTGAGTTCAGACCATTCAGACCAAGCAGCTCTGGTCCAGCTTTCATCCAAGCCAAATGTGGGCTTGTCCCCACCTGCAAAAACTTTTCCTGGGTCAGGCGTGCCAGGTGGCATGGGGAAAAGGCACCTGAAGAGCAGCCACAACTGGAGCTCTTGGCTCTTCCCACACCCCCTGGGTCTGTGGGATCCCAGATCTGATCGCCCCCACTTACGGTAGCAGTGGGGGAAGTTGAGATATCCCTCGGCACAGGTATCACAGTGCTCCCCAGTGTAGTTGGGCTTGCAGTAGCAGCGGCCAGTGAGGTCCTCACAGGTGCCATCGGTGAAGTCAGACTCGCAGTTACAGCCTGCAGAGAGCGACAAGTCAGCAGTGGTGTCACTGCCCGAGATCCCAGACTCCCTACACCAAAAAATCCTCCCAGCCCAATCCTCCAGACTACCCTCTCCAGTGTCACCAAGTCCAAGAGGGCACCTACGACCTACAGAGGAGTTCACACTCACGGTAGCAAATGTACGGAGAGTCGATGGGGTGGTCAGGGGACCGATAGTATCCCGGGATGCATCTCTCACAGTTGATGCCGGTGGTGTGATGCTGAAAGACAGTGGGTTAGAGGAGCATCAGTTCCTCAGCCTGCAGGACTCACTGTTCATCTGCCAGATTTACTAACAGCCCCAGGTTACAGAGGAAGCCGCTCAGGAGTGTCAGCACACAGAAGAGATAAATCTGCTCAAAATGCCGCATACACCAATTTGGAAACAAAGCATTTCCTCCAAACTGTATCCTCCCATAAACACAGAGTGAGTTTCAGGTTCATATCTGACCTCAAACCCATTTCACTTCCCTCAGATGGCAAAATGCCCCGGTCACTTTGTGCTTGCAGGATGGGAGCAACCTATTTCCTCCCAGCAAGAAAGCACAGTGAAAAGTTTCATGCCACTGTGTCAATTAACCAGGACAGTCACCCTGGGCAGGGAAGAGCTACTTTACTACTTTCCCTGGGAGCTTCAGAGATTGAGAAGACTGGCATTTTGGTGGGCAGAGAGAGATCCAGGAAGATGGCAACACCTGAGTGCTGTGAACTAGGCAGGGACCTCCAAAAGTGCTGAGCAGCAACCTGTCCCTCCCAGTTCCAGTGCCTCAGCAGACCTAACCCTAAAGCATCAGGAAGGCAGTGGTACTACCCAGGGGACAGCTAGAAACCCAAGTGTTATCTAAATTACTGGTGTACACTCCTTTGATCCACGGCAAAGAGACTAAATTTCCAGGGAAATTCCTAATGTAGGTAACAGGGGCTTGGTGGAGGTGCCAGCAAGGCTGAACTCCAAGTCGACAGTGAAAACAAAACCACAAAAATTTGCAAAAGCCTTTTCCACTGGAGCTCTTCAGCCCTACCTGACAGTCAATACAAACACCTCCCCCTTCAAACTTGTCTTCACGACTCCTGCTGGCTTTGTGGCGATCCACCTCCGGGTCGTAGTAGCAGTCATAGGCATGGCCATTGCAATTGCAAGCTGAAATACAAAGAGACATCAGCTAAGCCACCCAGCCCATGGAGATCCTTCAATCACCAGCTGCATCTCACGATGCGAAAGCTCCTTTGTGGGTTTGATGTTGGATGGGATACTTTGCAATGAGAAAAGATGCCTGAATGCACTGGGGGGGGTTACATGATCTCCCAAGCTTGAAGAATTCTTTCAGTTCAAAAGCACAGAAGCAGCAACTCTCTCACAAAATCTGGACAGCAACCAGGAGAGCGCAGTGGGCACAAAATCACAAGTAAAATATGTGCAGGCGTGTATGGATGAGAAGGAGAAACTACCCAGCTTTGGGACCTCAGACAGCCTGGTTTAGAAAACAACATTCTTGCCTCTTGTATCCCACCCCGGATAGAGGTGAAATGTAAAATTCAGCCCCCAGGGAGGGGGCTTTATAAACCCACAGGATTCTTTGCCACCCTACACTTATAAGACACCGTATGCTCTGCATTCCTACTACAGCAGGAATTCCACTGTCGGCACTGACCAAAGGCTTCTCTGGACAAATAAAGATGTCCTGTATGTAAACACGTCCAAACGTAATTCATCTTGGAGACAGAATTGAGCAACGAGGCTCGCCTGCACGAACCCTTGGACACGCAGGAGGAACTGGAACATAAGCAGAGTCCAAATCCCACACAGACCTGGTGGACCTCCCTGTGTGAGCCTCAACTGAGCGCCCTCAACCACTGTGCAGAGTCCTCCTCGCTGTGACAGTGACCTCCCCATCACCCAGCCCGCACACCACCAACCCCAGCAGTCCGGGCTGGTGTGCTTTGCAAAGTAGATGGAAAAGGAAGGGGAAAGCCCAACTCCAACTCACGCTGGCACTCGTTTGCGCTGTCGGCAGTGGCAGGTTTCCACGGGAACTGGTTGTAGCCGGGGCAGCAGCGATCGCAGGACCCGCCGCAGGTGTTGTGCTGGCAGTCACACTGCAGCCTGCAGGGACAGCAACAGGGCACAGACAAGGTTGGGGCGATGACAGGGATCTGCGGGATGGCGAGCTGCCATGTGACCCTGCTGTGCAGAGCTGTCACCAGTCAGATACATGAACGAGTGGTATTTGCTAATCCAGATATTCTGGAAAAGAGGCTTCTAAGGCATTTTTTTCAACCTTTTAATTGCTGATTAATTTTTTTCTGAGCTGAACACCAAACTTGGCTCCTCCAGCACCATTCTCTCCCTTCTTTCTCCTCCACCATCACTCCTCTCTTCTTCATAGGGAGACAAGGATTAGAGAAAAATCAGCGTGACACTGCTGAGCCAGCTCTGCAGACAATAAAATGTGAAATGGTTGGAGGTGGCAGTGGTAGAAGCCTGAGCTGAAGCAGATTACTTGTGTAGTGTAGTGTGGTGCAGGGATACAAGGTGTCCCTACCAGCATGAAAAGAATAAATGACAGCTCAGAGATGAAGAGGAGCGGGGCCACACAGGTGCTATCTGCTCCTCCAGGTGTACCTGTGCTGCAGAGAGGTGACATGAAAACTGAATTAGGTCTTTTAGCAGATGCTGGCCTCACACTCCCTGTGAAATGCACCTCCTGCTTTCCAGGCAGGGCTGTGCTGGGTAAACAGGCGGCTCCGGAGGCGCCAGGCAAGAAATCTCGACAGTCAACCGACTGATCTCGTCCCTGCTCGACCGCAACGGTGATTCATTAACATCAGTGACATCATCTCCAAAACCTCCACTTAGCAGAAGGCGATTCCCATCCAACACAAACGCGTTCTGTTGTATTAGACTTATGGATAATACAACATGTTCCAGCTTTTATCTGTGCAATTACTCATTTCCCCTCAGGGCCCGTCTGCCACTCCCATCTCTCCCTCCCTCCAATGCTTTTCCATTCAAAAGCAGTGTTTAAAAATAAATGTAATTTTTTTAAAACATTAGGGACAAAAGGAGCAGTCATTCAGGGTGAAGTGCAGGAGTGCAGACACACTCATCTGTGGCTGCAGTGAGCTGAGTGCCAGGGTTTCCACCCACACATAATTTTAAGATGTGGGACCTGCAAGTGTATGTACTGCCAGACAGAGGCAGCAGCATGGGACAAATGATCTCACTGTAATCAAACATGGGACAATCTGAAATTTTGCAGGAATGCAAGCAGGATCCACACTCAGCATGTTTGCTTCAGCCAGAGGGGTTGAGAGGCAGGAGGTCCCAGTGCTGCTGGTCCTCCCCTTGCAGATGCCATGGGACACTTGGCCGCAGTCAGGGCTTTGAGCACTCATCACACCCTGCCCCTGCCCACATTCCCAGGCTGGGCTGTGGCTGGCAGAGTCCTGGCTGAAGCCTAAGTGGCAGAAAAGAGCCCTGAAACATTAACTAGGAACTTTGTTCTCCCAGTGTTTTGCAGACCCAAGAGGGGAGACTCAATGAAAGGCAAACTTTGGCCACGTCTCTGTAAGAAAACCACCCACAGACCTCTCACCTGGCTGATTACCACTCAGCACTTCCAAGGAAACAAAATTTTAAGGTTTCTTTCCATGGCAGCAGTTGGAGATTAAAATTAATATCCATATACATATGCGTGGAGAAAGATGGTCACTTAGTCAGGGAACTTATAAACCTGCTGAGCAGACTGTTAATCTCCCTGACTGGAGGACGTGGCCCCAGCCACACACCCTGGCTCTTTAATGTTCAAGATGTTTGGAAAGCACGGGGTCCATTCCCAGAATGCAAAGAGATGGCACTCCACGAGTAAAGATGCACATTTCACATGGAGAGGGAGTTATTTATTTAGTCTCTGCTGCCCAGAGTCAGCAACAGCCTCTTGGAGAGATCATCTATCGTGGCTTTACTGCACCTTGTGCTGAATCCCAGCTGCTAATGAATTATGGACAAATGTGCATGAACTACAATATTTACATGTTTCATTGATTGAATATATACAAGGAAGAAGAGGGAGCGGTTGTGTTCACATAGCACATATTTCCTGCTTGTCCTGACATAAGAAATGAAACCGCAGTCTTCCCACTGGAATTGGTGCTCAGTAAGAGAGACTAAACAGTTTGCAGTGAGCAGCTGTGGCAGAGGTGAGAGCAGCACACAAGCATTACAGCATCTGGATTTGGCTGGGACATCTGAGTCGCACAATCAAGAGGAAAAAAAAAGTCCCTTCCTCTGCTTCTGACTGTGCTGAGGAAAAACCACCTGCAAAAAGAGACTGACAGATGGCACAAATCTACCAGCACACATGGTGCTCTTCCTTCCAAAATGGGAAAGAGGAAGCCAGAGTTCAGGATCCAGCAGTGGGAAAGAATCTTTCACCTGCAGATGTGCATCTGACCAGCCAGGTTGCTGTTGTCTTGTTGGTTATCTTCAGCATCAGGTACAGAGGCAGAGCTGGACTCTCCAGTTGTCTCCTCTCTAGCTTTTGGCATCTGTGATGGGTGTACCCACAGAAACAGTTGCTCTTATCAGACAGATGCAGAGCCCTTGCAGAGTTCTCCTAAGCTCACGTCATGTTAACACACCTGAGCAGTTGCATGTCAACACATGATTCCTGTCTGGGCTCTCTGTGCCAGGTTCCTGCTGATGCTTATCTCACTGCTCCCAGGGTTTGCCAGGAGAAAGGGCTATGCCTGATCCTGCTGGTGTTCATCTTTAACCAGGAGAACATTCCTTCCCCCTGCTTAATTCAGCCCATTTCATCTTGGGGCAAAGACAGACAGTAGAGAAAAGTGCAAAGAGCCTGGAGGAGGCTGTGCCTGCCCACACACTGCAGGTCCCTGCACATTCACACACACACAGAGCCCAGACGTGCTGCCAGCTTAGCACAGCTGGATGTGCAGCCTCCGTACCTTGGCCCTTGACAGAAACTTTCCAAAGCTGGATAAACATTATCATTTATGGCCAGGAAGTCAGCTCACAGACATGCTTCATCACGTCCTAAAGTCTCTGCCAAGGTTTCACCTCACCTCTATCAAAGTGCTCATCCTGCCTCGCTGGGCAACAGGCACAAGAAACACGGGCGTGTGCAGAAGAGGGAAGCTACAATGAGAAGCAGAGACAATAACTGGGACTTTTAACAGGGCCAGACCAATCCACATTCCTCTGTTTGCATTTTCTTGCCCTGTTGCTGTCACACATCAGCATCTGAAGAGGCAGGACATGTGCAGAGGCACACACTGCACAGACTTCTGAAGACATGACACGTTTCTGTCAGCTGGGGCTGGAGAGGACAGTGTGTCTGACCCCAGCAATGCCTCCTGGCATGTAGCATTGCCACAGCTATCATCGAGCTGGCTCTGTGCTGTGTCAGGGTAGGAGGGCTGGAATGCCTTCCCGGCAGCGCCCACTTCAGCAGGAAGGCTGGACACAGCTGCTGCTGGAGCCTGGAGAATGGCAGCATTTCACCAATTACTCGTTTTCTCAACTGAAAGTATCATATTTCTGCTGACTCCTCTGTGCTCCTGGGCTTGCTAACAGGGTACAGCAATGCCATGAGATGTTCTATTTACCCAGCACCTTTTCTTGCTGTATCCCAAAGGATTTACAGCTGTTATGTGATGACTATACAAAGCAACCAAGTAAGAAATATATCCTTCCTCCAGGTCAGTGCAATCTGCTCTGGGTGAAATGCAACAGCTGCTTACCAATATGTGGTGCAACATCAGAGAACAGTTTGGGGTCAAGAGCAAAGATGCCAAATGCATTCAAATGAGAGTGGAAGGAGGGGAATTCCGGGAAGCAAGAGACACTTGCAAGTAAAAGTAGCATTGAACAAGAATTTCCAACGCATCTCTCCTTGCTCAATTTTCCCTCCCTGCCTGGAGAGCCCCAAACTATTGATTCACTCAAGAAATGTCACAGCATTTCCATGTTAAAGAACGACTTGGCCCCATAAAGCCTTTTGCCCTGGTACACAGGTGTACTGGCATCCAGCAACACCAACGTCTGAAAAACAAGGAACTGTACATTCAAGTATTTATGAACTTCCTTTTGTCAGAGACTTTGGCACACTAAGGCAGACTTGCTTACCAATACATCCTTGTTTTAATACTTAACAGCTTTAACCTTGGCTGGGACTCACTGGAATTTTATTTTAGAAGATCCAAAAGCTCTACATGATCCTGATGAGAAAGAAATACAAGCTTCCCTCGTCTAGCTGAATCTACCCATCCCTTTTATAAAGGCAACATTCAAGCTGCAAACAGGTGGCTAAAAGTAACGCTTTTGTGGCTGGAAGCAGCTCTTTGGCACTTCGAGTTGCCAAGGCAGATGCGAAGAGTCCCACAAGCCAAAATGTAACTGCTTTGCATGCTCTTGTTCTTTTGCAAAGAGTAGTTTTTCAGCTACATACATAACCAATTTATGATTATTATGAGTAAAAATGGGCAGCAGAGCCTCTGGTTTCATGGGGACTCTCATTCTCATCTACCCATGATGAGACAATTCTCATCTATTTATGAGAGCATTGTCCCAATCCTTAAGAAGGTATGTGGAAAGCAAGAGACTTCTCTGAACAAGTTCAGAAACCAGTCCTGGACTTTGATGGAAAATCTCCATGTTCAACATTAGTATCCCACCTTTCCATTCCAACACTCTGCTCCCATGGGATGGCAAAGTTGTGGACAGGGAAACCAGATCAAGGAGCTGATCTGGCTGAAAAATAGTCTGACAAAACGTTTAATTTTTGCTGTTTTGTGTGGAGCAGTTTCTGATTCATTCTCAGGGCAGAGCCACGATCAGCAGCGCTGGCACAATTATGAGCTCAGGACAGGACATAACTCACACTGGTATCTCCATTCTTAGCACAATAATTCAAATGCTTTTACACAGAACTGGGACTTTGAAAAAGGTACCTGTAAGGGTCGTTGGGGTCTTTGGCATCACAGACGTCTGCATGGCCGTGGCAGACACAGCGCCCTCCGATGCTGATATCTTTGATGCTGTAGTAATACTGGAGAGTACAACAAGAGTTGGCCATTAGCATCTTTACAAATAAGATTCTTAACTGTTCTACTCAGGATTCAGCAGGACTTTATGCAATAAAATGATCCCCCCGGGTAACATCCAGGGATGTCTTCTCCCCAGGGGTTGCATGCACAGCCCCCAAACAGTTCCAACATCACTAGCAAGAGGCATCAAGGCCTGGCTTACCCTCCTTGTCACCGTAGGGTCCCTCAAAGCTTTGCCCATCAGGTGCCCGAGCAGAGTGTTTGTCTGCAGGAAGCGCAGTCGGATGTTGGTGGCTTTCGTGAAATTCCGCAGGAGAGGAGAGTAGGAGAAGTTCATGGCTCCTGGTCGCCCGTTGACCAGAGAGACAACAATCTGTCAATGAAAGGAGGGAAAAGGCCTTGAGCAACCTGGTCTAGTGGAAGGTGCATCTGCCCACGGCAGGGGAATGGAACAGTACGGTCCTTAAGGTCCCTTCCAACCCAAACCATTCTGTGATTCCATGAGAAAAATCTGTGTAATCCTGTGGGGTGGGGGGAAATTAATCTCTCCCTTAGTCGAACCCAGTTATCCACATGACTGAATCAGGTCCCTGCCAATCTCATTTGGTTTAACTAGGCAGTTTAAGTGGCATCCAAAAATCAGGAGGGAACCAATTAGTAACAGTATCGACAGCCACTGAGAAACCCTGGAAACTCCAGGGGATGAAAACCTGCCACTGCTCACCTCCCCATTTTCCAAAGGCACGATCCGGGAGTATTCAGTAGTGCAGATGGCATGGTCGTCCCTGGTGATACGATCCACGGTGTGCTGTCCAAACTTCTCAATGCAGTCCCTCTTGGAAGCTGTTCATCAACCAGGGAAGAGAGCAGTTAAGAGAAAAGGAACAATTCCAAGCCCTGTATGGATTTTCCCACACTGACCACGAGAGAGATGGGTGTACAATCTTTGTTAAGCATTTACTACATACAGATTGCTTTGTATGACATTAACTCTGTCACAGTTAAATACGTGTGAGGGAGTCACTGTAACAGTAATAGGCAGAAAATGCCCCAAATCACCTCCCTGCAGTAAATGAGGAAAGTGAGAATGGCCAGTGTGCCTACTGCAACCACCTGCAGAGGAACCCACCCCTTTATTTTGTCATCAATCTCACCATTTAACCATCTTGAGAACTAACCCTGGTCTGGATCTGTTGCCTGGCTGGCACTGGATTTGCTGCACTGCTTCCACTGAGCTGTGGAAGGGTTCTTTGCTGCCAGGGCTCTGCTCCTGATGAAGGAGCTGTTCCATCATTTCACAGGGTTCCTAAACTTCTTGAGCCAGTCCCAAAGCCAGCACAGAATCACACAATGGACATCTCCCACCACGTAGGTTGGACATGCAGGTGTGGGGAGGAGACCTGCAGTGTTTGGGAGAAGCAGAGCAACTGCCTGCAGGATGTTTCCTTCTCCCATCTTAATATGAACTCTGCAGTTGCTCTTAAACCAACGCTACAAAACAGAAATGCCAAAGCCACCAAGAACCACCCCTTGGGGACAGCAAACGAGGGCTCCTGCCACTAAGTGGCAATGCAAGGCTGGCTAAAGCCAGGGGACAGACACACTGCTGGCTCAGCGACCTACTCTGGAATGCTGCATGCCAAGACTCTCCTTGCAGCTTCAGGAATGTCCTGGTTCATGAACAGCTTCTCCTGCAAGTCCAGCACCCTTGTCCCCAGGACGTCTGATATCCCTGTGCTGGCAGTGCCAACCAAACCACAGTGAACGTGCCTGACAGCAGCGTTCAGCTCACACAGGAAGCTGATTGGGAAAGGTTAACCCAATTCAAGGGACTAATCATCCAAAATCTGTCTCCATGTGCCTCCAGAAGGCAGGTCCTTCACTCCATGTGCTGCTCGGATAGGCTGAGCCAGGCAGGAGGAGCAGCAAATTGGGAGCAGAGAGCTTCTGCCTCCCTGCCTTCACCCCTGGCCTGCACCCACCCACACCTTGTCCCAGGAATGCAGCCTCACTCCACGAAACACTGTTTTGGCAACAGCAAGAGCTCAGTTGCATCCACAGGAAGATGTGGAAACATTTAACAGAAGGTCTCTGGCCGCCAAGCTTTCCTTTACCAGGTGCTTTTTTTAAAAGGCAATTTATTTTTAAAGCCCCAGGCAAGGAGCCTGTCACCACTGGCTCAAGATGATTGATTTCCAGAGAGCTGCCAGAGCTGGGCATGGGGACAGGATGCTCAGCATGAGGAGCTACTCAGGAAAACCAAAGAACTCCTCCAAATCTACACAACTGTGTGAGCCAGATAATGGGCACTCTGAACTAAAGCAGAGTAACCCATCAGCTTTAAACCCCAGCAGTGCTTTAAGGAAAGAGCAGACAAGGATGGAGCCTCACTCTGTGCTGTGGCTGCCTTCCCCTCTGCAGTGGCACTGCCCAGCAAAGCGAGACCAAAGGGGCTAATCCTGCACCCTGATCCTGCACAACACCGTGAGGCTCTGTGGGACTGCATGGACAGATGGGACCGAGCATCTTTCACGTCCTGCCCCCATCTGAAACGCTGCATGGGGAGCCTTTCATGGGGATAAACACCCCCATAAATCTCTCCCCAGAGCTCCTGCTTCTCTTTCGGTGGCTGAGGAAAGCACGGTGCCTCCCTACCACGATGAATAGACCTGCATTGCCACAGTCCCTCCTGCCCCCCTTCCCTGAGATGATCCATCAGCTGCAAGGGCAGATGCTTTCCACAGCAGGCACTTCTTCCCTCCTCCTGCAGAGCTAAGCCCAAAAGCACCTCGGCAGCCTGACTGGGGGATCAAACACCTCCCACGATGAGCACAGCTCAAGGGGCAGCGCTGAGCTGGGGTGGACAGTGCCACCTCTGGCAAGGCTTGCTGGCGTCCCTGGAGAATACTTGCATTTCTGCCAGCTGCTTTTAACCCTCTTACTGACCTGACCACTGTTTTCATTAGACCACCTACAGAATTCCCTATGCCAGAAATAAACCTCCGAGAAGGACTTCTTGTGCTAGCGAATCTGGCAGGTTTTGGAGCAGCCACCTCTTTATTTCCATGGGAATTTTCCACTGGGCTGTGTCACTGCATGTCACTTCTCCAGGGGGGTGGTAACAGGGCCTGATGTTGGAGGAAGAAAAAGGACTCCAGATGTTGCAGCTTTGCCACCACACACACAGGAACAAGCCAGCAGGGCAAGAGCTCTCCATGCAGCCCCAGACCATGCAACAACACAACTCTGATGGGTCCCAGGAGAGGTTTCAGAGCTGGAAGATAAATTCTCAGAGAATATAGAAAAAAGCAAAGCAGGAATTCAAAAGCAGGAATTCCCCACTAGCCCACAGCAGAGAGGAAAACATCTGCACTGGAGAGGAGCTACCACGCTAAGGCAACACAGCAGTAACATGTCTGCAGCTCTTTCTTGCACAATAAGGGGCCCGAAATCCAAAGCACAGGCTGACAGGTAAGCCAGAAATATGAGCCTTCAGGGACAGCCCAGGGCAAGGCTTCTGAGCGCTCCCAGGTCCTTCCTTGCCAGGTTTTAAGCTCTGGCTGTAGATCTTAACTCACATCTTCTCCCAATTACTGCTGCTGCTTCTGGGAGGAGCTGGTGGTTAACAAGTTCCTCAGCATCCGGCTACCCCGTAGACCCTCTGGGAGAAGAGTTTTGTAGAACCAGCTGTTTCTTAAGGTTTTAATCAGAGAACGGGGAAGCCAAATGCACAGACTGGATCTCCACAGCCATCCTTTGAAGCCAGCTGTCTCTGATTCCAGCTCACACAGCGGCAGGACAGCGGTTCCCTGCCCTGCACAGGCTGTATCCAAGCACAAGGGACAGTTTCTGGCTTTCAGAGTTTTCTGTGACAGCAGCCACTTGGAAGCGAGCTGCTGTTATTGCATCTGGAAGAGCTGAAATACACCAGTCTGGGATAGTACAGAGCAGACAGAGAAGAGGGCAGGGAGGAGATGACAAGAAATCTCAGTTCCAGACCTTGATCAGCAATGCCCAACTACTGACACCGGTGCCAACTTTGGCATTCCCACAGATTTGGGTGGGCATCAATGACAACACTTTAAAAAATACATTTAGTCCTTGAGAGTAAAAATGTTCTCCTGCCCTGAGGAGCACCTAAGCTTCACCTCTTGCAGCCTTATTGGGCAGAGGAAACCCAGGACATGTGCTGCATCACAGTAATGACACGGAAACAGCTCCAAACCCAGCTTTGTATTTGCACAAAGAGCCTCACCACGGCATCACCACCTGGCACTGAGCTGCAGCTCTCTTGTAACACTGAAATACTTACAGGCAAAATACTGCCAGGGCTCGTAGGTAAGGCCGAAATCTGTCGATCGCTCCAGCACCCAAAGGTCAGGACGAGGGGAATTGGCGAATTTGATCAGGACATATGCCACGTGGAAGAGCTGAAAGAAAGCAACACAGAGTCAAGTTGGCTGCTTGAGGCATCAGAACTGGGGAGAACTTACTTAGGGATCCAAGTGGAATAAACGAGCTGGCACTCTGCAGATCCTGCTGCTCACAAGCAGCCTGCGGAGCAAAATCCTCCGTATCTAAAAGGATGGTGATATAACACGGCTGCTGCAGGGAGCCAGATTAGGGAGCTCAGCTCCCACTGCGTGCAAACAAAGCACAGACTTTGTGGCTACAGGCTGTACCCAGGTTGTGCTGGGCGACACCTCAGACTTAGCCTTGACCTAAGCAGCCAGCACTATAAACCAGCTATGACACTGTTCTGGGGGACCTGGCTTTTGGGCTGTTCTGGAGGTAACAGGTGACACACTGACCTGCCAGCCAGGTAACATCCAGCTGCACCTTGCACATGATATCACTAAATCCTCTTTTCTTTTTTTTTAAGGCATTCCACTTGGCAGCCCTGCTTCACCCACGCAATCTGTGTTTTGAACCTGGTTGCACAAAAGCCCCAGCACAGCTCCATCTTCCCCAGATGCCACAGAGAGGGGAGAGCAGGAGACCCACTTGGCTTCAGCACAGATCCAACACTGGGCTGCTCCCATTTGTCTGGACACTGACATGTGCACACACACTGCTGCCAAGTATAAAATAAACGTACTCTTTAAAGAGCTAAAATGTCAGGGCTAGACAGAAACAAAAGCCCCAGCAGAGTTTCCCTTCCCCGGCTGGCACCAGCTCGCTCCAAGAATCCCCACTCCATCATCCTGTCACAAAGTGATATTTAAAGGCAAATAAAGTTCTCTTATCTGAGAAAATTCCTAACGTCAAAAACAACCCAAAAGGGAGTTTAGTGCTTGAAAGGCAGAGATTTATAGCTCAGGAGTCCTTCCTCATGCAGAGCTGGAGCTGCATGAGCATATACCCCCCAAAGACTAACAGGTAACCAGAGGTACAGTTCTGCAAGGTGAGGAAAAGGACAGCTCTGTGATTGTCTCAGCCCACCTGTCCCAGACATGACCAGCTGCAGGAGGGCCAGAACAGCAGCCACCACCTCAGCCCTGCCCCAGCCACACACATCGCCGAGCCAGAGGGCAAAGATTAATAATAACATGCCTCCAAAATAGCCCTGACAACTCACACAAGACTTTTTAAAGGGCAGAAGAAACAAGGAAGAGGCATCCTAAAAAGCACATATCTTGTTATGGTCATTCAGACGAGGGGTCCAAGTGCTGGTGTGTGGGTATGGAGCAACAGGACGGTGCTGCCCTGTGGACTGGCACCACCCACCTCAGTCACCCCTCAGCAGGACACACACAAACCTCTCAGGCTCCTGCCAAACACTCCTCTGGTTCTGGGGCAGCCTCTCCTCCATGTACTGGGGATTGCTCTGGTTCTCTTTGCAGGCTGGTGGTACCTGAATTCACACCTGGGTGTAGGCTAAGGGGGCTTGAGAGAGATGCTCATGGAGGGGGGAAGTAGATCCACCTGGGAAATCTACACGAAGCACAGCTGGTCAGAGGCCATTCCCCAGCTGGGAATGGGCAGGAGGGTGGGATTTGTCAGCTCTCAGGGTTTGCACTGGTAAGGACTGGTGCCATCCAGAATGAAGAAACCGAAGTGGCCACCCAGCACAGTTCCCTAATGCTAAAAGACCTGCAAACCCTATCAAAGGGGAAACAACCATAATTTTCAAGTTACTAAAACCTGAGAGAAAACAGATCTAAATGCTGCCCTAATTCCCCTCTGCAACCTCTATGTGTTTTCAAGGCACACAAGACTAAGCTTTTTTGGAGGAGCAGTGTTTTCTGCCCATTTACACTCTCAGCAAAGCTGTTATTTGATAGTGAAACCCAAGAGGCTTCAGCTCAGGCAGCTGCTTTCTCTGCAGGACCAGTTCTCACAGCTTAACATCTGCCTCTTGGCATGGGAACAGGGCTGAGCACCAGCCTGTGGAGTTACACCTTCCCTCCACTGTAAACCCTCCTCCAGCTTTATTCTCCAGGGACTAAATTAATGTTCTTGCTGGAATCTAGCACTGCCTTTAGCTGGACAAAATTCCCTGCAGCTCCAGAGTGCCTTTACATGTTCTGGCCTCAGGCACTGGGGGAGCCTCTGCTCTGAAGGAACAGCAACCACAAACACAAATTGAGAAATGTGACGTGCATCCCTCTCTTCTACATTTCTTTTTACAATGCCAGCTACATCCCATAGAGTTTCTGGGGGGCAGGAGGTCCTCCTTGCTGTCCAGTTTTATGCTGGAAAGAAATGTCCTTGAGTCCAAACTCCTTGCACGCTTCTAGTTCTCAGAAGTCCCCTCCCTCTGGAGGGCATGGATTACCATGCACTCAAATTGGTGCAGCTTTTGCACAAACACTGAAACAACACTGAAATCTCACACAAAACCAAGCCTTGGGCTCAGTGATTCACAAAATGAAAACAACAGCCAGAAAAAGAACTCAGTGCTGGTGGCTACAAGTCCTGGTAAGTGCCCTTGGGGCAGGGTCGGGCAGCCACAGGCTCCAGACCCATTGGGGCCCTCTCCAGCTGAAAGAAGATGATGTGGATGGTTTCAGTACATTCTGAGTCATGGGAGACACGTACACACAGTGGGCACTGGGGAGAACTATGTGCTTGCTGGGAACTCTCTGAAAGGCTAATCCCAACCCCATGGCAGGGTTAAGACATCCAAGACCAGGGATAGCATGCTTTTATCTTTTATTACTGCTTTTCATAGGGAAGCAAAAAAAAAAAACAAAACCCACTTTAATTCTTGTTGGATTATTTCTGGATCAGCTGCAGCAGCTCACATGAAGTCCAGTGCAGATATTCACTCTCAAAGCCAAATGCAATTCTTCCCTCCATACCCAAACTCATCACTAGCACTGCTGTGTGCTGTTGGACTGCTGTTGAATTTTATTCCAGTCATGACTGCAATTTTGGGACACAAAGAAGGCAGCCAACACTGCACAGTCACTCCCCTCCAGCACGGAAGGGTTATGGTCATTCCTAATGGAGCACAGAAAAAATTCAGGAGTCTGTGACCGCAGTGACCCCAAATCTGGAACAGGACCCACATCTGGTATTCAGGGGGATTTTTGTCAAGTCTGGTGAGTCTCCTGCCCCTCCATCCAACATCCTTATCTTGCAGAAGATCACAGCCTGCCGGAAAAAATAACAGCAGATTGCCTGGTTCAAGTGCATCTGCTGAGAAATCTCAGAGAGAGATGCAAAGATGGAGAAGTTGCTCTAAAAATAGAGCTGGCAGAAAAGTCAGACTTTTCATTCCATGTTTAGTTCCAGTACAGTTCTGCCCAACCAATATTGCAAGAGAAATGGTTGGGTTTTTTTTCCAAAGCCTTTATTTAGCTCCTATTAATCAGTCAGATGAATAAAAACCTCTATGCTCCCAGCTGCTTTGGCAAACTTTTTTCCCTTCTTCATGGAGAAAGGAGGTAAAGTGGCAGATCTGATGCACACACTTGTCTCCAGGCATGCAGATTGCTTGCTCTCCCCACCTCTGAAAGCACGCCAGGTACAACTCAACCTTTGACCAGTGCCTGGGATTTCATGAAACGAGCTTCCAGCCAGGAAATTCTGACAGTATTTTAATTAGCAACCAAATTTCTTTGAAAATAGTAACATCCCTACATCTAGCTAATGTTGCTATTAGTGCAAGTTTCCCTAGTGACTATCACTGCCTGGAAGGATGGAGAAAGCATTGGAGCCAGGAGAGGAAGATGGAGATGAGGGCATTTCCTCCATCTCCCACGCTCCATCTCTTTGCATCTTTGGATGGTGGGCAGCTTTATCAAGCACCAAAATCCCATGAAAATAAAACTCTGATTGCTGCCCAGTGTGACAGTTCAAAGACTCAAAGAGTAAAAGATTTCAGAGAGACAAGAAAAACTCAGCTGCTTTTGGAGCAGCACATTCTGTGTCCATCCATCCATCCATTCTCCTGCCTAAGCAACACATAATGTCAAACTTGCACATTTCTCACATATTCCCTGCCTTGAGAAAGTGATTTTAGTTTTCCAGCTCTGGGAGGCACATGTGGGAACAAAACAACAAGCTGGACCAGCCATACCCTGTGTTCCTTTCGTGAGGGAGTTCTGGTGAAGTCTCACTGATACTCCCAAGGCACCACAAAGCCACACAATAACATTCAATAAGCAAACAAATCTTCATGTTGTTGCAACACTGGCAACTACATTTTGATCAACAACAAGAGGGGCCCTTTTTAGTCCTCTGACAAAAAGGTATGAGCAAGTTGTGCTGGCTGGGAGCTCCACAGAGCTCTGCTCCTGGCCCTGGAGCACACAGGAGTAGTTTATACAGCAAACCACTCTCTACTTTTCCATAGGACGGATTTATTACCTTTGGCGTTGATTTATGAAAACAGCACCACGTGAAAACAAAAGCAGTTCATCTCTTCCCAACTGCTGCTGGATATCCTCGTGGAGCACGTGTGTGGATAGCACTGCCAGCGCTGCTTATTCCTGCTTGGGATTTCCTGGAAGGATCAGGGGGACCTGCCGAGCAGGCGCAGCTCAACGGCAGTGCATGGGCAATAAGTCCCCCTGGTTTTGGGGCACAGGAGGCCTCCTGGATACACACAGAAAAGGATTTCAGGACATGCACAGCAGGCACCTGCAGTGTTTTGGGGTGCACTGCACCCCGATCTGGGTCACTGCACAGCAGCTCCAGATATCTGCAAAACCCTATAGGCATGGAAAGCAGAAAAAGAACCACCATGGAAAGCGTGGAAGAGTGTTGTTTATTTCCCCTCCACACTTCCAAAAGTGACCAAGTGATTTTGCTCCCTCCCAAGTCCATCCATCCCCCAGGCACTGCCTTGGTCCACCACTGCAGCCGCGAGCCCACCTGGAAGATGTGGCAGGTGTCAGAGCCTGGATGGGGTTATCAGTCCACAGCAGCAGGGAGAAGCAGCTCTCTGGGAGCACAGGTCACCTCTGTCCACAGCCTGGTC